CCGTCCGGTATATTAAGTTTTCTCAAATTCTGATCAAATGATAAAATGCCTAGGATTTGTGCAGCTGTTTTATTAATCTATTGAATATTCTTCTTAGCGTTATACAATTTTAATGTAAAATTAAATAGGGTAATCCCTTGCGCCGAAGCTGTTTTGTTGATGTGTTTTATTGCCTCCAGTAGGTAAGAACAATGACGTCATAATATGTACTGGCTATAACATATCGCTGGTACTAAGTATGCATAAGAAAATAATTCAAAACTTTCTCTGAATAATAAATATACTTCTTATGCATTTTTATTAGCTCATTTGCATAGAAACGCCTATACCTAGCCTTAACTCACATGCATTGGAAGTTTTTTTGTGTAAAGGTCAAATGATGGAGACCTCAACAGACAACATCTACAAACCTTAATTAAGATATGCTTATTGACTTGGAATCCATTTACCAGTAGAGGGTCTAAAAAGAATGATTACTTGTTGTATATTCTACCAGGACAAAAAATAATTACATTTCACTTGACCTTAACAATGTAGACATGTTGACAGTTGTGACAGATACTGAATATGTAGTGTAAACCAACTTTCATTTGCATGAGAGAAATACCAGCAAGTGTTGCAACATTCTTTTACATATAATGCAAAACTCTATCGCCCTCAAATTTTTTTTATTTATTTATTTTTTTTTTGTACTAATTAACATGTATTTATGTAGAATTCTCCTCATTTGCAAAAATATTGATTTTCTTAAACCATCTCAATTTTAAGGGAAAACCACATTTAATGAAAAGGGCTAATTAGCTCTACAAGGTTTTCTGTGCTTGGTGTAAATTTAATATAATAGTGGATCAGAGGCAAATAGTTTTGAACTGCAATTTTGATGACTTGCCCAAGGCATTTTTCGTACATTGTAGTGACATCATAAACTCATCTATTGTTAGCAAATGGTTCTAATCCAATCCTCTCCTCTTTCAAAAGGAACAAGTATTCTGAGAGTATTGCATTAGCAATACTAGTCCCCTACCGGTAATTTAATCTGGTTCCCGCTAAAAATTGAAAATGCCAAAATTCCATCAAAAATCAATGAAGCGGAACAAAATGCAAACTTGATCTATATCTCATCAAGGTAAAGTCACATACCAAAAATTAGCTCAATATCTGCAAGCGTTTAGAAAAAAATTGGGGAAAACCCTGAATAATTTAAAAGGTCGTAATTCCGTCAAAATTCATTGAAGTGGAACAAAATGCAAACTTGATCTGTAACTCATCAAGATTCACTCATGTTCCAAAAATCAGCTCAATATCTGCGCGTTTAGAAAAAAAGTGCGGAAAACCAAGTGGGACAGACAGACAGACGGACGGCTAGACAGACGGACGGACAGACTCAGAGGAAATCTATAGTCCCCTCCGTTTTCACTGGTAGGGGACTAATAAGCTGTTATGAAAGGAATATGCTCAAGAGCAAAGTACAAACTTAAAGAAATCCATAATGCAGTAACTCATGATTATATTCTACAAAAGAATACTGTGTATTTAGTGGTGTAAATGCACAATAGGACCATTAGGTATGTGTATGTCCATCAGGAATAAAAGTCATCCAGACAGGGCTGTGATCTTTAGTAAATTCTCACAAGTTATCTTTCTTTGCCTAGTTATGAAATTTTAACCACCTTGTACACCTGCATCACACAAGACAAACAAAGGGGCCAAATTTCAATAAAAATATTAAATTAATATATGCCATAAACTCTCATCAAAGAGTAGGAAAAGATGGAGTTGATATTTAAGACCTCTTGCTTATTATTGAATTGCACAGATGAACCAAGTGTAATTTAAGGTTTAATCCCATATTCCACTTGTGGGTGACTCCATCCCCCTCCCACCATTTCATACATGTACATGTCTAAGAATTATTCACAATAAATGTAAGAAATTTGTGGCACTATGGACAAGATTAATCCTAAATGTTAAAAACCATCCTCTTAGCTTTGAGAATTAAAAGCATGGAATGAAAGCAATAAATGTCATTATGAATGAAATGTTAAGATAAGGAACAGTGATGATATACTGAAAAATCTATTCAGACAATACAAATTATGAGCAAAGCTGACATGGACTTCTGAAAACAGGTGGGATCAGATGGAGGAGTAAGCATCCCCTGTCAACTGGTTACACCAGCCCTGTGCTCCGTGTCATGTTTAGGTAAACGTACAAAACCATGGACAACCTCTTAATGTTTTAGAGGTCAGTGTTTGCTCTGCTCCAAAATTTGTATTGTTTAATGGACTTTCGAGCTTGAATACTGTTCGTTATCTCCATACACTTCATTTGTCAAACTACATATAGATACAGGTGATCAGATTCAAAACAGAAACCCACAAAACATGACATGGATTGTGTTTTATATTTTTATTATTTGATCTACAGGAGTACATGATAAGGCAAATGGTGTCCTTAAAATCAAACATTTCAATCAGGTAATTAATTCAATTATTTTAATTTTAGACAAATTTTGATTGGTCAGTTGTATATATAAATTTGCATAAAATATATAGTATAGATATGTCAATACACATCTAGTGTACAGTAATATTGCTCCAAATATGAAAAGTTCCAAAGTAAATAATTAGTAATGCAATTCTGTACTATACTCTCTCCTGCCTTTGACAAGATTAAGATTGATCGATATTAAGGGAGAATGACCATCTAAGAGAGGTAACTCTAAAATGTTCCCTACATGAAAGTTGAGTGAAATGTATCAATTTTTGCCTCATATGGTATACATTTGCCTGAATTTTTCTTAAATCTCCATTTTCTGTTTTAAAAATGTCAATAAATGAATTACAGAAAATTCCACCCTAATAACCAGTGTTCGTTCTCCCTTAACATGAAAACTATATAAATAAATATTCCAGTTTATATGAAATACTGAAAAGATGTAGACTTATATAGCACTGATTGCCAACTTTAAATATTTTATCTTTATTAAAAATAAACAATGCTTATTCTATTTGAAGGAATTGGTGCAGCTGAAATGTTTTGTGTATGAACATACATGTACTTGGTATGAAGCCGACTCATACATTGACATTCTTAAAAAACCCTTTTCTATATGGAATGCATTTATATAATATTGATTTTCTCACATATACAAAATATTTGCATAAAGACACATCATTTTACACAAGGGAACAAACTGTCAATGACATTTACTGAAACATAGCACTGCATACAATGGAACAAAATTTTCATCCAAACTGATAAATAATAAATGAAATTGATATGTATTCACATTGTAAACCATGTATATGGTCCAAAACATATGACATTATCATTGTTAAAACTGATATGTATTCATCTACCATAAATGCCCTGTTAATTTAAAAGTAAAATAAAAGCAGTGTTGTGAGTTATGTATGCATTGAAATGTATGTATGATTGAAAACTTCACATTGATTTACTTTATCTATACATGTATAATAAAAAAAAAATCCTTGAAACTTAGAGAAGAATCATATTGCTCATAACTTCACAGGCATTTTTTTTTTAAAATATCTGTATTAATTTTTCATGAGTTTGAAAAGGAAGAGTAGCTGTGAATAATATGGCACTCGTATGTTATAATACATAATGTATGACTAATCCCCTTCTCAGTTTAGTTCAGATGTGTTATAAAAATCTTAGACTTTATCTAATAAATAATTTAAAAGTCCTTCCTTTCAAAAAGGAAAATTTACTTCAGCACTTTGCATGCAAATTTAAGATTTCATAATGTTTTTCCTTTAAGCACAGTTTTCTTTGCCCCCATGTTATTTTTAGTTACCTCATTTCACACGTCATGCAAACAATTTTGCCCCATTTTAAATTTACCAGAATGAGGTATAATTGTATTCTTTGAATTTGCTTTGTTTTAAATTCACCGACTAGAAACAAGGTTGAAAAGGCAAAAACAAAATGGGAACAAATAATTTCTCTGTACGTATACAGTACTTTTTCTTTGTGTGTGTGTTTGTTTGTAAGTACAGTATTTGATTATCAACATTTTCTCATGAATCATCCATTAAAAAACATACAAACAGACTAACTAAAAAAAAAATCACAGGTACACAAAGCCATTCAAAAATTCAGGTAACTATATACAGTAACATTTAAAATGTGTGATCAAGAATGCATAATTAATTATCAGTTGAATTGAATATATAAAAATTATGCTATATACAAAGCTTTGGGATACGATAATAATAACATACCAAACACAGTACTAGTACATAGATATGAGCAAGAATATATCAATTTAAAAGCTTAATTAACAATCAATGTATAATGACATGTACATCTCAAACCCAAGCCTACAACCATACTAAAATATATGAAATTAATAAATCACATAAAACATACACACACATATATATACATATGGCAACATAAGGACATAAGGTTCGGTCTCATACTTGTTTATACCTCGTAACAAAATGAGGTCAGGAGGAAATATATAACACACCAAAAAAAACATTTAAAACTACAAGAAATTGAGTCGTTCGAGAAAAAAAAATTACAATTTTTGCTAGACATGGACAAAATCTTAATGAAGTGTTCATATCACAGGTTATTGATTGGAGAATTTTTTTGTAACAGTAGGAAGAGAACGCAGGAATATGAAGGTGTGGGCAATGTAACAATAAAATTTTAGTGAACATATATCAGAGAGTGCATATTACTTGATTAATTAGTAAGCAATAAGTCTGTATGAAGTTTTCCTTAAATGTAAAATCTTTCTCTGTTCATATATTTTCTTGACTAGTACCGATTACATACATGTAGTTCTCCAAATATGACTATGGCATACTGAGACAATATTTATATTGTATGGTTGTTATATTATAATAGTTCTGTATAATGGCTTTAAGAAAGCTGCTCTAGGTATCATAATTCTCTTTTCCTCCTTCATATGAGATTTGAGTTGAATATCAAAAGAAAAAACTAAAAGATTATACACTAAGGCAAGCATTGAATATTTCTCACTTTACATCTAAATGACACTAATTTTTACAAAAAGAGATTTGTAATAAGCGTTATCAAATTCAAGGGTATTTCTTAAAACATTCTATCATTTGAAATCTGAATAGCATTCGCAAATGCTTTATATTTATGAAAGAAATTGAATTGCTTATATTTTGTTCTACTCAGCTTGACACTCATGGCCATAAATTCAACCTGCTCAGCTATTCTACAGAATTAAAGACACTTAAGGAGATGGGAATGCCTTACAGAGTTACACTTAAAAACATATTGTACATATTCACCTCCCCTGTTATTGCATACTTTGTCCTCTTCATGCTTTGAGCACATATGCCGTTTTTTATTATGATTAATTAAAAATTCAACATTTTGGCATTGAAATCTTGGAATGTATTAGTAATATTTTTTCATGAGGTCGGCCAAAAAGAGTAAATAAAAAAAAATTGTCCTGCTCTCTCTGAATTTAAAAAAAGGGGTCAATTTTCAATGTCCTAACAAAGTGAAAAACAGTACCAAAAGGGAATGTATGGTATAGCAATCTTTAACACAGAATTACAAAAATCAAAACTTAAACATTTGATCATAAAGTGATCAGTTACAAGAAATAGAAACATATATAATATGTTATATAAAAATATTCATCTATATACACCGTAAAAAAAAAATGGATACTATATATATAAAAAGTTTATGTGGACAATGGTTTCCATGGCAACAACAATCCTCATAAATCATCTCGCATTGATTATAGCACAAACAATCAATAACGTCCCTAACACAAGCCAAAAGGAAAATGTCACATGACCCGCTGAGTTGACATTTCTCGTTAGGTCGTCCTGAACAAATAACAACTGGTCAATGATATGCATGACCCCATTAGTTGCCCCCTCGTCCATGTGAATAACATTCGCTGATGCTCCTCCAAAGTATATCCTCACATCTAAAAATAGATAAAAATGTATTGCAATAGATTGAATATGTACTGTAGAGGTACTTTATGCTGTGTGGTATTAATTTATGCTATGTACGCGGTCACAAACTTCCACAGAAATTTGTCCCAGTGTACCGAAAGTACATTAAAGTCATACAGTGGCAGTCTAAGAAATCTGCGTAATCTTCTATCTGTGGATTGAACAGAAATTGTGATTCCGAGAAATTATAATCCCGTGGAAAAAAGTTTGTATACAGTATTCTCGGTCAGTTTGTTTGTCCTTATTACATTATTTTTGGCTGATATCCCCATATAACTGTAAAGTGAACAAAACAAATACAGTAAAATTCAGTTATAATTAAAAGAACTCTCTTAGAGGGACATCTCAGTTTGAAGGAAACTCTCAAGAATACCCTTGAAGACTTTGCAAAATGTTTCTTATTTATTAAGGAATAACTGTCAAGTTTTTTTGTTTTTGATGTGATCAATCAGTTTGCTTATGTGATAATTTGCATAAATGCCGAAGTCATTATAAAACAAAATAATAAATCCAGACAGTTTTTCCTTATATATGCATTTTTACCTAATCCTTATAAATTCAATAAAATATTTTTATTCAATAATAAGAAATCCCTGCAGGTCCGGCCCAGTGTATAGCTAAGCAACATACAGCAAGGCAGTATGCAGTTCTGACACATGCTAAGCAAATGGCTTTATGAAGATATAAAGCTATTACCTCATTTGTACCATAGCTTTATCTCGGACAAAGCATTTGAAAATATAAACAAAATATTTTTACTGTACATATACTACATTTGCCCCCAAACTGACCCTAAGTTTCTTACTTTGAAGCTTTCTTTCAGAATTCAAAATGTTTAGTTTACACACATTTTTCCCCTTTAGAGTATGCTTTATTGCATGCTTCAATAATTTCTCAGAGGCTGACTGAGATCTATGCCCTTTTATTTTCATGTGAAGTTTTGATACGCAGGATCTAGTTAAAAGGTGTGAACAAATATCAACAAAGAGTATCAGAGGAATAATTGCATGTAACTATGTATCTGTTATCATAGACATTTATTCCTCTGTCATGTTCATACAGATGAGTAATTCGCTGATTTAACAACAGTGTAACATTGATATCTTGAAGATTTTAATATCTAGAACATGGTTACGTCAGATACAGTTGGAAGTGTCCAAACCTCTTTTACTAAGCAACCTCAACATCTCAAATCCTAGAATCATTTTTTTTTCCCCAAGGCCCCAGGAAGTCTGAGATTTTGACATTTGACTGTATAATTACCTCTGTCATTTGTTTTAGTGAGACTAATTGTTTCGCCATTCAGCATCTGCATCTGGTGGTTTCCATTTCCCATTTTTTCTATATAAATCCGTCCACGAACAATAAGCCGTTTAAACAACTGAAAAAGAATTACTTTACATCCTTAAAAACTTCTTCACTCTTGAATCATTAACAAAACACTTTACAGATACATATATTAATTTTTGTTGCATTGATAAAAAATTACCATTAATTATAAAACAGAAATTTATAAAAATTTAAATGCTTTTACAAGGTTTTAAATTGCAAAATACATGACCTACACTATGAGGGGCAATCAGAAAATAATGCAAGTAATGTTATTCCATAGGTTTCCTTAGTAGGTGACCAATATCAATGTCACGCATGGGTAGATACATTCATAACCTGTATCTGTCTAAAATTTCTCTTCGTTTTATTCACTGTTTCAATAGATATATAAAAAAGAAGGAGGGGTAGTCGTACATACTGACCATTTTCTCCCAGTGATATGAAACCTACAGTGAAGGCTGAAATAAGGACCTATATAAAAGTGAGAGGCATTCTTGATATACCTGCAAAAGTCATTTTAAATGAAATTTGTCAGATTTATGGAGATTCTGCCGTTTCATTAAGCACAGTTTGTCGCTGGTTGAAAAAGTTCAAGAATGGCGTAGAGGTCGTTAAAGATTCCTCAAGGCCAGGGCGACCAAAGACAGCTGTTACTGATGGAAACGTAAACAGGTGGTAGAGGAGGATGGTAGATATACTTTAAGATATATCGCTAGTGTTGTTGGGATCTCATCAGCAAAGGTACATGACATTTTGACAAAGCACCTCAACCTAGTACGTAAAATATGTGCACGATGGATACCGCATCTCTTGACACCAGAACAAAAGTCAATGCGTTTAAAATTTGCCAGAAAACTTTTTAAAATATATCAAAACTGTGACAGGAGAAAGTTTGCTGACTTGCTAACAGGTGACGAAACTTGGATATACTTTTTTGAACCGCAAAGAAAAATTAACAATATGATGTGGGTTAAAAAGAATGGTGAGCATCCTGTCATTGCAAAAAGGTGTCAGAGTGCTAAGAAAATTTTGTATGCTATTTTCTTTAATTCTAGTGGCCCAGTTGTGCAAATTCCAACTCCGCAAGGTCGAGGTATCTCTGGACATTTTTACAAAAATAATGTAGTACTACTGAAAAAAATTAAAAAAGCTTATGAAAAGAAAAGACCAAAGTCAGGTTTGAAGAACATCAAGCTCATTCATGACAATGCCCCAGCTCATAAGAGTAATTAAAATAGTTCAAAGTTTTTTGAAGGATGAAAAGGTTGTTCAGCTTCCCCATCCCCCATATTCTCCTGACCTTAGTCCCTGTGACTTTTTTCTATTTCCTAGACTTAAAAAAATGTTATCTGGACGCCGATATACTTCGCGCAGTGCAGTTGGTAGTGCTGTTTATAAGTGCTTAGACAGTATTCCAAGGGAAGACTACCTAGGGGCTTTCAAATCATGGGTATGCAGATTGCAAAAGTGCTTGAATGTGAAAGGGGGTTACTTTGAAGGATTAAACTAGTTTACATTTTGATACCTATTGTTCTTTTTATTTTTTTGATATACTTGCAGAATTTTCTGATCGTCCCTCGTATCATAATTAGAAGTTTTTCTGTGTTTTTATATACAATTTTGTAAATTATGAACTGTTCAACATAGGTGGTTTACATTAACAACATGACGTTTATATAAAAAAGATTTTTTTTTTTTTACTTTTGATAACTTGCATAAAAATCATCTTCCTGGAAGTTTAACAAAAATTCTAATTACTTTGCTAGGGGTCAGTGAGAATCTTGTAATTTTTTTTCACTTACATATTGAAATCTTGGTGTGTCTCTCATGACTCTATTTCCATTAAGCGACACTGAAAAGTAGTCAATAGCACTCGAATTGGGAACAAAGACTGTGAATTCGCACGCCACAGTGGTCGATCCGCAGTACCCCATATCGTAGTCGGAGGAACTCTGTGATCCTGTATTCATGCCATTCAGCATGTTGCACGGATACGTGTTGCACGGACTTTTGTTGGCATTGCTTGGATCGCTGCAGTAACTCACATACTGACACTGGGTTGTTGATCCTCCATTACAACTCAAGCATTGCTGGGAGTTTGCGTATTGGGGCTGGGAGCAGTAAGCAGGGCAGTTAGATCCTGACGTACACATGGCCGAGTTACAAGGATACTGATTTGCATACTGGGACTGTGAACAATATGTTGGACAGGTTGTTCCCCCTCCAGTGTTGGTATTGGCACACACAGCAGTATTACATGGATATTGGTTCTGGTAATTCGCCTGGGCACAATAAGTGGGACACGTGGTGGAACCAGTATTTGTCTGACACTGTGCTGTATTACAGGGGTACTGGTTCTGATACTGGGCCTGGCTACAATAAGTAGGGCAGGTGGTTCCCTGGTTAGTGAGCACGGCTGATCCGTAATTTGGAGGATAGCCATAAATTTCGAAGCTACACTTCTCTGCTGTGAATCTACGGTCCGTCAGGTAGTTCTTTAGTCCCACTCTTCTCATGTAGTCATATGTACGCCTACAATTTAAGAATGTGAAAGATACTAAAACTAAAGGTTCTGAAACACAGTCATATCATAAAGAGAACTATCAATATGTCATTAAGGTCTAATATTTTTGTCATTCACTCAGGCATGTAGTGGTTATTGATCATCATTGTTTATAACCTAACTGTACTTACAGAAGCCACACGTCATGGCAGATTAACATGGGCAGATCCAGATAGGGAACTCCCAGCACAGAGTCGATGATGTGGACCATGCCGTTAACTGTCTTTATGTCTGGCCGGATCACACGAGCCTTCACATTACCTCCCTGTACCCAGGTTTCTAAAAATTGAAATGACATTGCTTTGTACATTTTTTTCTTAATATAGAAAATATTATTAATGAATGGACAAAGGTTGATGAAAATTCACATCGTTTTCACCTTTTTGAATCTTCTATATTAACATACATATATGAAACAAAATTGCAATTCTAAAATCAAGAGAATATTTTTGAATTCAAAGTTTTGGGGTTTTTTTTTGAAAGGGGGGTGGTCAGATCAGCAGGTTAAAAATTCAATGAATACTCTTTCATACTGGTCTTCTGAGAGTCAAACAACAAGCGAATATTTACCATTTCTTTCATTATAAATGGTTACCCTCTCATTGTTATACATGGTTTGTCTGTATTGACGACTCTCATAGCCGCTCATCGCGGGCAAGGACGAGATAATAATCGGGTTGTTGGGTACTAAAATATGCAGTCGAAGCACCTGAAAAAAAAAACAATGAAATTATCTGGGATGCATTAAAGATCACAGCAGCTACCCTACTTGCTTTAAGCTAGATATCCAGGTCTACTATAAGAATTAGTAGTTGTCATCGTTACATAACCGCTAGGCTAGTATATTGTTTATAATCATAGCCCTTTGTTCAGTCGTTTCCACTGCAACCTTGAAATGCAGTGATGCTGTTATTGAACTGCTGAAGAACATAGTTACATGAAAGAAAAACAACACCTAAAAACAAGAAATGGATGAAAAGGGGAACAACTCAGTTTTCTTTTCTCAACAAAAAATAGAAAATGGAGTTAACCCCCTTTCAAATGTGTGAATGTCAATATCTGAATAAAATTGATGACTTTTTTTATGGCTTAGAGCTTAGCAAGTCTAGATAGTTACCATATCCACTAATGTCTGATTACTGTTTAAGTTGACCCAGCGTATGTTGGCGATTTTCTGGAAGGCTGTGTCCAGAGGCACGAAGACAGTTACCCCTGAAGGCTGCACCAAGGAATTCCTTACGTTTTCTGTGCCAAGATTTATCAGCTGCTCAAATTTCCTTAAAATAAATATTAAATGATACAAAAAAATGAATATGAATAAATATATAAGGACATAAAGCACATTTAATACACATAATTAAAGTGAAAAATTATGCTTATTAGAACGAATTCATGTTTAACTTAAGCCTTATGCATGTATTTAAGGATAGACGATGCATTTCTTAATAATATATATTTTTTTCTAAGAATTTGTTATTGAAGTATTGCTTCTTTAACATGTTTACTCCCAAAAATTGAGGTACCTTACCAGGCATTTGTGCAAAATACCAGAGGATGTTGTTTCCTATAAAATCCTTTTGAAAAAAAACTTAATTTGCCTATATCACATTTTTTAGTCTTTCAATCTTTCTTAAAGACAATTAGAAACAAGCTTAGAAATCAGAAGGTAATTAAAATTTGGAATATTTTCCATACAATACGAAGATATACATAACAGATATTTGAGGAACGTATCGTCTGACCTTAATAAAGCAAAGTGAATGTCTTCACCAGGCCTGTAGTTTTAAGATGAAATTATCAAATATTTCTGGGTTTTTTTTAATATGTTAAAGACCTTATTTCCGTTTGGAACTGATTTTTGAAATTTCCTAATAACATGTTATAGTACTGTACCAGTAAAATTTCACGCTGCAAATATACTAAATAGTGAATGATTGTACATAATTTCTCAAAGAAGTGGGGAAAAATTATTTGGAAATCCGAAATCCAGGAAAATGGTAGTTTACAGAAAAAAAGAACACTCATGACATAATACTTTAATCTAATAAGCTAAATGCAAAGACCCTCAAAAAAATTCTACATACGTTCCCTCTCGTTGAATCTGTTCACGTATGTTGTTATAAACAAATCCCAACAGCTGATCAACCACATGCACCACTCCGTTGGACACCGTTATATTTCCCTCAATAATGGCCGCACTCACCCCGTCACTATTGACATACACTGAAATCAGGAAGTAAACATGTTCAATAATTACTGTGGAATCATTTTTGTTCGTGGGTATACAAAATTTACTTGTTTGTGAGGACATAATTTTTGTGGTTAATCATTCTTACGGCAGATGCAACGAACCAATGTTTACAAAATAAACGTTTGTGGGGATGTTAATTTGTGTGTAGGGGTGACCCACGAAATCCATAAACATTGGTCCCATCATTTATTTATGGAAAAAAGAATGAAAACACTAACACACTAGATCTTTCTAATCAAATAATTATAGCAAACCAGATGTCAAGTAGGACAGAGACATTTTTCATGAAATTGGTACAATTCCAATAGCTGTTTATTATATATAGAGGGAAAGAGTTCAACTTTAGTAGAACTTTAATGTTTTTTTTCAATTATCTACAAACTCAATATGTCAAGCCAAAGGAATGCTTTTATACATGTACGAGCAAACCAGGGCAATTTACAACAAAAATAATGTCCCAAGCAACTGTGCCTTAATACCCCATTTTAACTTTCAATTACTAGGATTTAATGCAACTTCTAATAATAAATACAAATGAATTGTATAAAACTATGTACAGGTATTATTGCTATTTTTTTATGAATGAAGTTTCTTACCATTGTAACCTGACGGCTTCCTGAAGGTCAATGGTTGACCTTTAGCATTAGTTACACCTTCATTGTGGGAAATACAGTTGGTGAAAATCGCCCGATTAGGAACATAATGAGCTTGAAGAATCTAAAGAAAAATATTCAATACAGTTAAACCTTAATATCTTTAACTCAGCTGGATTGAGAAAAGACTTCAAGATATACCATATAACGGGTATTTTCTGCGGTTGGAAATTTTTGCGATTTGACCCCTGAAAGGTAGGAAATTAATTTCTGCGTTTTCAATTTCTGCGGTTGCATTATACCGCAATATTTTTTTACGGGATATGATCACCAAATTATGAGGATTTTGCAGAACATTGCCATGTTTAGGTTTAATTTAAAGACATATTGATCAAATGTGCTTGTAAAAAATTTCAAGCAATATGAAAGAAATATTTTGCGATTGTAATTTTTGCAGATTTGTCCTATCCACAAAATTCCGCAAAAATTGGACAATCACAGAAAATAGCCGTTATACGGTAAGAAGGTCTGAGATAATGAGGTTGAAATACAATAAGAAAATAGAAATTCTGAAATATCTTATGATTGAAAATGGACAACCGTTGTTCTTTGTGGATAGTCCGATAAGTGTATATTTACTTGTACAGTAGTAGGATCTGATAAGTTTATATTTACTCTTGTAATTCTGTGGGATTACCCATTGTAATTCTGAGAGATCTGATAGGTTTATATTACATGTATTATCCGTTGTAATTCTGTGGGATCTGATAGGTTTATATTTACCCGTTGTAATTCTGCAGGATCTGATAAGTGTATATTTACCTGTTGTAATTCTGTGGGATCTGATAGGTTTATATTTACCCGTTGTAATTCTGTAGGATCTGATATGTGAATATTTACCCGTTGTAATTCTGTAGGATCTGATATAGGTGTATATTTACCCATTGTAATTCTGTAGGATCTGATATAGGTTTATATTTTCCCGTTGTTATTCTGTAGGATCTGATATAGGTTTATATTTACCCGTTGTAATTCTGTAGGATCTGATATAGGTTTATATTTACCCGTTGTAATTCTGTAGGATCTGATATGGGTGTATATTTCCCCGTTGTAATTCTGTGGGATCTGATAGGTTTATATTTACCCGTTGTAATTCTGTAGGATCTGATACTAGGTGTATATTTACCCGGTGTAATTCTGTAGGATCTGATATAGGTTTATATTTACCCATTGTAATTCTGTAGGATCTGATACTAGGTGTATATTTACCCTGTATAATTCTGTAGGATCTGATATAGGTTTATATTAACCCGGTGTAATTCTGTAGCATCTGATATAGGTTTATATTAACCCGGTGTAATTCTGTGGGATCTGATATAGGTTTATATTAACCCGGTGTAATTCTGTGGGATCTGATATAGGTTTATATTTACCCGTTGTAATTCTGTAGGATCTGATATGTATATATTTCCCCGTTGTAATGCTGTAGGATCTGATATATGTTTATATTTACCCGTTGTAATGCTGTAGGATCTGATATAGGTTTATATTTACCCGTTGTAATTCTGTAGGATCTGATATAGGTTTATATTTACCCGTTGTAATTCTGTAGGATCATTCTTGAGTCGGTCCAGCTGTGTGATAGGAATCTTTTGCATTGCATTGTCATTGGGAACAAATAAGGTGGTAATCTTGTCTGGTGATGAAATGTCATGAATGTTGTCCAACACAATTAGGTAGCTCATCAAATCTATGAATTTCCTGCAATTTCAATTTATAATAACAGCTTGTAATTAAACTCATCTTTAGTAAATCAACTTGTTTTAATCCCAATTCATCATTTCAAAATTTATCAACAGCCTTTTATTTTTGTGTCTTAGAAATTCTACACAGTCAAATAAGCAATACCAGTAATTAGTTTGCCGAGGGATATAGTCATGAATAAAAGGAAATTGCAACATCTGATGATATTTCTCAAGTCAGAGTGAATTTATGCTGCTTTACAACTGTATAGGGTACAGCAAAGGGCAGTGCATATTGCTTTGCTAAAGTGCATACATTATACAATTATTACAATAGCTGTTTTTGAGGTCAATACAATGATTTAGCCACTGAAGGATCACAATGATGAATATTTAGTATACGCAGCCTGAAGGGTGAGGAGAAAATTGTACTTTGAGGGTGGCTAAATCATTGTATTGAAAAAGCAATAATTGTTGTATTATTTAATAATTAAATAATCCTAACTTAAGCAAACTATGATATCTTTCTTGATTGTTTAAATTTGTTGAAGCCCCAGCAATGAGAAAAGTTGGTTAATATAAAGATAAATAGTTGCATAAATTTTCTAATCTATTTAATGAAACAAAAACAAATGTCAGGCATGTAGCCTTGAATTTGGGGGAGGAAAAAAACTGACAATTTGAAATATCTTTGACAAGCTAAAAAGAGGAAAATTCTCCAAACTCAAAATCTTTAGGAGGCTGGGGAGGGGTGGTTAGGGTAAAAATCTGGTATTTATAAATGGTAAAATATTTTTCAAGAATTCTGGGTATTGCTGCAAATGAAAATATACGTAAGAATGGAACTTTCGCAAGTGAACTGTCCCATGTGATTTAACAAAAGATGAAAATATTGCCCAACAAAAATTATTTACAGTAAACCCTGCTCTGAAACAAGTCTATACATACGTAAATCTCTGTGTAGCATCCTCTGGATCTTGGATCCACCCATATGCTGTTTTTTGACTTGTTTTCCGCATGACTCCATTTAGACCATGAACAACTCCATTGGTGGCGGAGATGTCACGATTTGTTCCCTCCGATATCTCCACACCATTGACATAATACTTGATTGGTCCAAATGTGCCAGCTGAGGTCTGAAAGAACACAGAAACTATATTTAATCAAATTATCTGTTTTTCCCCGACTTATTTGATAAAGAGAAATTTCAGTTTGATTAATCAAATAAATTTATAAGTAGCTAAGACCTGACGGCCTTTATAAGAGATGACATCATAATCCAGCCATAGAAGAAATTATGTTAGAGTTCTTTATTTATAACCTTTGCAATTCAAATTCCTGAGATTCAGAAATATGCAAGAAAATCAACTGAGTTTAACTGATATTAAAATTGTTATTTTCACACTATGACAATAATAATCAGAAGTACTTAGCTTATACAGGGTCAAACAGAAAACCAAAGTAAAGCAATAGAATTAGAATATTCAAAGTTCCATGGTTGGAATTCATTTTATTCATGAGAAAAAATTTTCCAAACTGGTGACAATATATAAAATAAAATGTCTTACTCATAAAATAAATTCCTGACTACAAAAAAATTAAATATTCTTATCAATATATCTGAATATAAATTAGTCCTCAGTGAGAGAACTTTAACTTTCTGAAGGGTAGTTCACTCAATGTATACTTAAAATAGATATGAAAAATGCCCATCACCAAAATCACTGAAAAGTGAAATATAGGTCTTAATCAACAGGTGATTACACAATACATCCATCAAAGAAATAAATCTTAAAAGTATTTATTGATTACTAACAGATCAATTCTTAAAAACTTTAAGACAGTTTTAGTTGACACTTAAGGTTCATAGTACCCTGGGAAAGAGAGGTAACTCTCGATAGCATATTTCATAAAGCTCCACGAGATTAACTTTTTCAGCACATTAAATGCCGTTTTCAAGCACTTTTAGACAATCAAATCATGCAAAAAAATATATTTCTTGAGGTTTTTTTTTTCAAAATTTCTTTAACTCATTTAATTTTTTTCAGCATTTTCTAATTGGTATTGCTATAAAAAGGTAAATCAATACATTTTTTTTCTCTTTCCATTTTTATATTTAAATAAATATGCTTGATTAATATAAAGCAGCCAATTAACATCAGAATTCAAGCATCGTAGAAAAAATATATGCACATAACATGTATTTTTAAGCACATTTTCAAGAATTTTTTGCTGTTCAAGCATTTTCAAGCACTTTTCAAGGACTGGATCAAAATTCAAGCACTTTTCATGGTCTGTAGGAACAGAGTTACTCTGAATGGAATAAATGACAAATTGTCAAGTAATCAGCTCATTTCTGTTAAATTTTACTTAACTACTTTAAGTATGCTGAAATTTTTTAAATCATTAAGCACAATTCTATGTGTACAGGGATGATGAACCTTATAAAAAAATTTTTTCTTACACAAACAGTTTATCAAAGTGGTATCATGTTAACACAAACTTACATGCACTTACAAAAGTGCACACATAACATAAAGGACAAGGTATGGTAACAGCCAAATCTGGCCCCTTGATGCAAAAATCAGAACACAGATAAAACTGTGATAGTTTGTACCGTATTTGGCTGAATATAATACGCACTTTTTTCACAAAATAATTTTCTGTGAGAAAGGGGTGCGTATTTTACACCACAATGGGATTTTGATAGGTTTTTCTTTCATGTGAAACAAGGCTATCATACGCACATACCGTAGTATTACCTAGAGACTTATGCAATTTTTTGCTGTTTATCGCCGTATTTAAAACTTCAGAAAGTTATTGTTGGAATGTAGGCTTGTTTAAAATGTTATATTTATAACCTTTTGATAGATAAATTAAATTTAAAAGCAAAATTAATTTGAGCTGCATGTTCATCGTCTCCGTGTAGGCCGCCATTAACGATGTTATTTATAGATGTTCACATTCCTTTGCCACGTGCTTCCGTAATCATAGTACACATGTACCTAATCAGTCAGACCACTCGGTCAAAAAAAGTAATAAGTCATTTTTTAATGAAATACAATAAAATAAAATTTATTTTAGGTTTTAAATAACTCAGTGAAAATTCATTTTAACATAAACACCCCTCTATACGTCCCAGTGAATGGAAGCCAATGTTGGGAACACGTGCACTTGTCACTTGATAATTACCCCTCAACACCCCTCCAGGCAATTAAACTGTTTACCGACTCCAAAGCATTGTTTTTACAGTTAGAGCACTGATTATTTACTGCCCTTATTAATGGCTTTGGTTATTTTCTTTGTTAAAAATCAGGGGTTGGTTTATGATCTTTCGTATGTATAAGCCTGTGTTGATTACGACATATTAAACAGTTAAACGCTTGTTAAATGTAATTTTACTTTATCTTATATCGGCCTCGTGTTAAATTGATTGAGAGTTAAAAAAGGAAACATTGAAGCATGTTGAAACTTAAGTGTTATCATTTACTCGTGCTCTGTAAAAATGATATCCACGAAGATCACCTCGATGTATGAAGACATATATCCCACCTTTGTACATCATTTTTCACAGCTTTGGAGGTGTGTTGATAACTACACTTTACACGCTTGTTAAATTTCGATTTTATTTTTATAACATCAGCTATTTATTTAATTAATTTCAAGTTCAAAAGAAGAAAATCGTAGTCTATGAATACTTTGATGTTGCAATATCGCTTGTCCTGTTAAATTTACATAATTTTCAACATGATTACCTTAAACTAAAAATAAATATGACAACTGTTAAACTTGCAACAATATCTCGTGCTTTGTTGAAATAAAATTATTTCCACAAAGAATAGTTAGAATACGGCGACGTATAATTTCAATATCACCGTATGCTAAAAAAAATATTAATAAACTCTGTTAATACTTTAATGCAACATTATCTCATGCTTTGTTAAAAATAAATAATTTTTTATCTCCGCGCCGATTTTCATAGCAAATTACCACGATTTTCAAAATTTCGGTAAAATTTTCTGCTGCGTATAATACAACCGAACTGCGTTTTTTCCCCAGTTTCAGGCTCAAAAAGGGGGGTGCGTATTTTACACCAATGCGTTTTATATTTGGCCAAATACGGTAGTTTAGACCTTAAAATGATACTTGTTTTAAAACCAGACCAATTTTGATTCAAAGCTTACACGGAGGACACAAGAGGGTGCAGAAGTGGGACATTTTCCTGAATTTCCTCGATTCTGCTGGAATTTAGTCAAATTTGCGATACTTTTCACTTCAGGAAACAATTAGAGCACTAGCTTGCCTATCTGAGATATTTATACACAAGATGCATCTGATACTAGTGTATGAAATATATAAATTTGGTAGATAGGCAAGCTTGTGCTCTGTGTTTTCTGAAACAAAATGTGCTGTAAAATCGATGAAAATTTGCATTAAAATGAGAAAATTCAGACATTGACACATTTCCTGACCTTCCCGTGACCTCTGTATATGCCATAACTTAGAACCAATACTCATTTTGTGGCAGGGGTATCAACAGGTTTTTATTGATAAACTGTTCCATCATTCTAAAAAAACACCCCAAAACCAGGGGCCAAAAAGGGGTCTTAGCCTATCTTGTCCTTTATCTCATACATCATGTACATGTGGGGGATACTACCTATGCTCGTTGAAATGGTGTATATTCACTCAGCAAGCCTCAGAAATAATACACCATTTCAACTCGATGGATAAAGCAAATATCAAATCACACAATATCAATATTCTCTATACACCTTAACAATTTTACATTATGTCTTTAATATATTTAATGAACTCTAAAATCATTTCAACAAAAATCTGTAATACACTTCAAAAACTTCCTCACAAGTTGTTATTAAAGATAAAAACAAACAAACTTATCAAACACAAAGTCCTTGACAACAAAACAGTGTGCAGAATAAAAATAATCAAACTGTAACAGAAAATTAAGCTGTGACAGACCTGTGAGGAATCAACCCTGGGCTCTCTAAACTTTTCCAAGATGCGCTACCAACTAAGCTAATTAATGGATCATCTGGAAAATATAGGTCAGACCCAACATCCGAAGCAAGTCTATAGTATGCATCCCTATATGCATCATTCAGGCAAGTTTCATCACCACAGGGTTTTCACTTGAGAATGCTTTAATAAATATAGGTCAGATTAAGCAACCAAAGCAAGACATGTAGCCAGTGTGCATCCCGCAGTGTTTTCCCCAGACCGTTTTTGCATGGCGGTACCGCCATGCATTCACGATCCCCCGCCATGCATCACACATTGCCGCTATGCTTCCCGCTATGCATGAATTATTAAAGGTAGACTATTTTAAGAAGAAGATATACTTGTTATCAGTTATTAATCTTTCAATGAAACAATTCAAATCACTAGAATCACAGCGTGTACTGTACACATGTTGCACACCTGTGGTGAATTCGATGTGAATCGCGGTACGTGGTATGATGCAATAGTTGTCTATTTATGTTTATTGCAATTTACTGATATGTTACTAAGAATTAAGCTTTTATTTGATCAAAAATATTTATAAGCATGAAAAATTTATTAATTGCTGTCAGATACTACACACGGTGAAAGTAATACACTTGTTATATGCACATGTGGGTTTTTCCAACATCCACAGGTCATTCTATAAATAGCATTGATATTAGGACATCAAAAATGATTCATTAGTTAAACACTTAATTTTAAAGCCATTTTTAGCATAAATATGCTTAAAATAATCATGTCCAATAAATATTATCATTGTTTATTTACTCTGTGAACTATGGGCAAATACTTCGTTCAAGCGCACGTGCTTGACCTACATTCAACAGCTTACGTTGGACACCAGTCACCAGTGTACTGAATATGTTGTCACAATATTTACATGTAAGCAATGGTGCTACATAATGTGCACCCTTTTTGTTTAAAAATGACTGTAAAAGTAGGGACATCCAAAAGAAAAAAAATGTAGTAAATAAAAAAAGGGGGGGGGGGGGTCACTAGGGGCCTATTCAGTTTGTAGAAAGCAAGAATAACACAGCACATAAACATGATAAACAGACAGTGCTTTAGTAGAAAATAAAATAGAACAATTTTTTGTGATTAGATATATTTTTATAAAAGAGAACTCAATTGTTTAGCTTTTTTTAAAGTTATATTGACAATATATTCAAAATATATCATTTAAATTAAAAAAAAAATATAAATGAATGAATTTGTATTTTTCATTTATTAAATATAAATTCAGATACATGCACAAATAACTCAACAAGACACGCCACGCGCCGTCAATTCAGCAAAATTCCCCCCATGCATTGAAAATTTTCTGGGGAAAACACTGAATTCCCTAGATGCTTCATTCATACAAGTTTCAGCTAGGTAGGGTTTTAACTTTGTACTCAAAATGTAGGTCAATTTATCTAGCATCTCATGCAAGTTTGGTAGGTGGATCCACTATAAGCATCATCCATGCAACTTACTGTAGATTCCTAAATATACGCGCGGAATAAATTATTGCATAATTACGCGAGAAGCACCACTCGCAAAATAAAATTACTCGCTTTTATTTTTATAGTGCTTTAATGTATAGAAAATCTCTAGATAAATCAACGATTCGCGAATTATTGTTCTCGCGATTTGACGTCCTTTGGCAATTTCGCGATATTAAGTACTCGCGTAAAATAAGGAATCTACAGTAGTCAAGGTATTTAGACTTGCAGTTAATTGGGAATGTAGCTGCTCTAGAAATTTTTACCCATCACTCATCTGGAAAATGTAGGTCAGATCTAGCATTCAAAGCCAGTCTGGTAGTATGCATCCCTAGATGCGTCATCAGATCAAGTCACCAAAAGGCTTATAGTTACTTGAGGATGAGCATTTTCCAGAACTTTAACCTGGTCACTCATCCAGAAAATATAGGTCAGGTCCAACACCCCCAGCCAATCTGGAAGTGTGCATTCCTAAACTAGGCATCCATCCAAGTTTAGTCCAGGTAGGGCTTACAGTTACTTTGGAATTAACCTGCTCCAAAAACTTTAACTTGGTTACTCATCTGGAAAATGTCAGTCAAATTCAGCTTGCTAAACAAGGCTGGAAATGTACTTTCCTATATGCATTATGCATGTGTAACCATAAGGCTTATAGTAACTTTGGAATGAAACCTGCTCCTAAAACTTTAACTGAATGATCCAAAATTTTAAACTGCTCCAAAATTAAACATTATCTCCCATCCTGGAAATTTGGGTTTTATCCTGCATCCAAAGCAGGTCAAGTAGTGTAAATGCCATCCAAACCTGCTCCTAAAACTTTAACCAGGACACTAACACTGAGGCTAATGTCTGGGGTACATGGGCCATAAGCTCATCTAGACTTCATCAAAGTGAGCTAAAAATCATACACACTACACAGATATACATGTTGATTATAATTATAAGATGTACTGTAGCTAATATATTGATAATACTGAAGGAGTTAGTAGAGAGCATTTTGAAAGTAGTGCCTAAAATAAATTAGTTGTAGTATGAGCTAAAGGTGATGGTATTGTTTTCTTTGCTTTTAAAAGATTGTGAAAGTCACAAGAATGATTCTTCACCCTCTTCATGCAATTTCCAAACACTGTCAGATACCAAGGTCAGAAGAATTTCTCAAATTCAGCAACTTTACATTCCTAGATGTTCACTTTATTGGAATATGAGAATTCAATTATTTTCATACAATTTAAATATTTTCAAAAAATAGTATTTTTGAAATAAAAATTATTACTGTTGAAATAGAAAGTGTAATGCTGCAATCAGGTACTGTATGGTTAAGTTAATTTTCTTATGTATAATTTAGTCCCCCCCCCTTTCAGTACCTTCTTTTGCAAGCTTTTGAATTAATGCAAATATAATCAGTTTGTCTTCATCATGGAAATTATCGATACATTTAATAGATTCATTGTTTCTTGAACTTTTGTCTTCACCATTAGTGCAAATACATGTATAGCAAAAAAATTAATATTTTACTTCCCCTGTACATTATTTTCATTTTTTAAATATAGATAATATAGGCCAGTAGGCACAATTACAGATTATAGTTTTCAGCAAGATTGAAAATTCAGCTAGAAATTTGAAATTGTTATTTATCAGCCACAGTATGTTGTTGTTTCTGAAAATTCTACTCTAGCTCAGTAACCAGAGAATATGACATTGTGTCTTTGAATGGAGTTTTAAAACATGTCAATCAATTATTAATAAAAGGAGTTTCATTAATATTGCAATTAAAGTTAAACCCACTCTTTACTAACAAGAAAACTGAGTTCATCCTTTTGTGGAGTCAACCAAAGGGTCAAAAGTGAAAGAAACAATGCTTCTCTTTTTGCTACCAAACATTTTGGCATTTCCAAACAAATTGTTGTGCTCTAAAAAAAAAATTCTTTCAATTTGGGAGTTCCACTGATTTCTTACTTGGGTGCTCAAAAAACAAGATCCAAATGAATTTGTTGTAGCTCTATGGGTAAATATCCCAAAGTAGACCAAGGGACTTAACTTTGAAGGATGTGGATTTATCTTTTCCATATACCTTTCCTTTTTAAAAAAAAGTTTCTTGAATCAGTTACTTTATCAAGAGCACAAAATACCAAAAACTCAGACTGTTATTTTTGTCCTATACAAAATACTAAAAACTCAGATTTTTTTTGTCCTATAAAAAATACCAAAAATCAGACTGCTATTTTTGTCTTATACAATACACCAAAAACTCAAGCGGTTATTTTTGTCCTATACAATATATTAAAAACTCAGATTGTTATTTTTGTCACACGAAATACCAAAAACCCAGACTGCTATTTTTGTCTTACACAAAATACCAAAAAGTCAGACTGTTATTTTTGTCCTATACAATACTCCTCACACGTAGGTTATCCGACAATGTTTGAGTTTAAAGCAGAAAAGTCAATTCCAGTGCACTACAACACCCAAACACTTACGGTGTACAATCTCTGTTTTCTATTTATAAATAACTTGTCACCGTTGGAGTCCATGCTTCGGAATTGTGTATTGTCCCTCATGGAACCTGATGTAAGTCTGGATCCATATACTGTAATTAAAATATAATACTCTGCCCACTATGCGTTCCGAATACAAGTAAATAAAATGTAACTTACTGTGTCCATTCTCTGGACGCGATTGAAAAAGAGGCGGTCGCCATTGGAGTCACTGCTCCGCACATACTGGTTGTCCTGGATGGCAGTTGTAGCGACGCGATTTCCTGGGACTGAAAACCACAAAGATGGAGGCGAGAATACCAGACATTGTCCAACTCGTGCTATAGATTCTGACTAATATTTAGACATACAAAATATATACAGGACATAATATTCTTATCTGTAGGGCACTTGGCATTCAAATGCAACATTTCAGTCCAAGTGAAAATAAATAACAATACATGGCAATTATATTATTTATGTATCCTTAAAAATGATGTATTATTATTATTTTTATATATATATTTTTTGCACCAAGTAAGTAAGGCTAGAAGTCAAAAATGATCATGGTGAGCATCAGTCTATGCGAAAGACATCGGACTGTCGGACCGGACCGATGTGCAGTGCCTCTGGTCCGATGCGTCATTTTTTACACCGGACCAGAATGTCCGATGTCTCAGCGTCCGGTTTTGAGCTTTACTATTTTGATGGGGAGTCATTCAAATGTTTGTTATAAGTAAAAAAAATATTGCACAAATCCAAATACGTAAATGAATTGATTAAAACCGCATGGACCGTCTACAGTAATAAGATTTTCTTGGTTCTGCATTTTCACGTATTTCACTATTTAGGTTAGGTTTTTCGGTCTGACAAAATTTGGTTCAGTCCTGTGTGTTCATTGATTACACAGGACCGAATGTCCTGTATGGTCCAAAAAACTTTCGCATAGACTGGAGCAAGGTGAGGGAGTTGAACCTTTCTCTTAGGTCCCCCCCTCCCAAATCCTGGAATTTGCTTTACAACAAAAAGTGGGGGCCAACCAGCATCTAAAGGAAAATTTACTACAGCAAAATACTTTACTTAGGGGGGAAAAATTAGGAAAGGGGGGCAGCCCCACACACCCCGCTTCTCATGCATTCTAGGTGCCTGTTACTTTTTGGGTCAATTGGCCTTTGAATCATTTATCCAAGTAAGAGTTATCTTTCTTATCAGAGGATCAATCATTCAATGAACCTTAATTCTAAAAAATTTCTTCTAATCTATCATTTATAAAGACTGCATTTAAAGACTAATTTTAAGACCATGTGAATGCACCGACAATATACAGTATATTAAGCAGAAATTTTAATGAGTATTCAATTTCAGCATTATTAGCAAGAGTTTTAGATGTTGCTAAAATTGAATATCGCTAACAATTCATTCCCCACTGGAGATTAATTATCGCTATCTTTCCATGCATCATAAAATCGTTAAAATCACTTCATGCTAATTTAATTCAATACTGATTTTTAAGGACAAATCGCTAAATTTGTGTTTCGCTAAAAATTCTACTTATACTTTGGTAAATTATCAATAAGAAGAAATTATCTATTACCATGACTACTGTCTGTAAGCCAGCCAACATTTTTTACTAGATTTGGCACCAGTTAAAAACTGATCGGCAACTTATAAAATTTGTGATCACATTTCCTACTCAATTAGCTGTTAAGCAACCTTGACTCCACAAGATGGAGTTGTTAGTGCATTAATTGCAGATGTTTCTTGTACATGTACATGTAAATATGAAATTTGTTTACAGTATAGGGTTTATAAATTTGAATACATACTTTATGTGTAAATGTTAAGCATTGCTATATTTGGGTTTATATTTAAGATTATCTAGGACTTGAACATATGCCATTGGGGGAGTCTTTAGTTAAAAATTATCATGATCAAATCTGGGTAGAAGTCAACTGTAGACATTAACTATCATTATGATTTATGCAGATTAATCAAATCTATAAACTATGAATAGTATTATTCAGATTAATAGGGTGCATTACAAAATAATTCTCTGCTGCTAATACTTACTTGTACAGAATTTGAGGTAATCTTTGAGCTCTGTTTCTGTGTAGCTGTCTATTATATTGCGTTCTCTGTATGGTAGCTGGTTATAAGCTGTGTCGTTAAATGCGAACACGGTCATAGTAGTAGGAGATTCATAGAACCTTGTCAGTTGTGCCCGGGTAACCAGCTGCGCAAACTGAAAGATAAAATAATATTCTGTTTAATACAATTTTCCTTTTTAAAACTACCTTAAATTAAGAATTTTTTGCAAGGATTTAATTTCGGCTCTCTTATAAGAGAAAGCATTGAGTTTGCTAATAAATTGATCTCACCAACAATTAATTTGGCTACAGAGATAACATTTATTATTCTAGATATTATGAAATCGCTAAAATTACTTCTCTCTAAAAATATATAGTACCAATTTTACAGATAAATTACCAGATTTGTGTCTTTCCAAAAACTATGCTTATATATGGTAAACTAAGAAATGTAATTTCAGACCTTTTACCCACATTGTTGTCTCTCAGTATTTTTTATTAGATTTGTCAGTGAGATTTGGCATTTGCGTGTAAGATTTCATTTTCCATCGATTTTACATATATTACTTGTGAATACCAAAACATGGTTTAATAACAAGGAAAAAAATCATACTTTGCTTTCTTTCGAGAGGTTTCTATCATTTTTAAACCACCGTGTTTTGGCAACCTGACATCACTTAAGTGTTTGAAATCTTTCTCTTTTTTCAGCGATTAAAAATGTCAAACTGAGAAAGATCATAAGGAAAACTAACTGTGAACGGACTTCTCGATTTCTGTATTTTCATAATAGCAAAGCGTGAGACATATTTTGGGCTCAAAATCTGTACAAAATATGGCGAAATTTTAAGAGTAAACAGGTCCGTAATTTATAACTGCATACACACAATCTCAGCATCTTACTGGGCAAAATTGAGAGAAATGGAATTTTTCTTTGACAGTTTTACAAAGGAAAACATAATTTAGTCATTTATTTTAGTGAGAGTTACCTCTCTTATCAAACGGTTCATGAACCTTAAACTTACATTAATCATGTTAATGATTAAAAATTTGACTTCAATAGGTTTTCTTTTAATACCAGATTTAACAGAAATACCCTGGCAGGACTTTGGAAAAGATCTCAATGGACCAATGTCCATCTTAATAGGATTAATTTGACTCATTCACAGTAACAGCTTTAAAAAAATAAAATGAACAAATTTCAAACAAAACACTAGAAAAAACAAACAGAAAAAAAAAATCAAAATTTGCAAGTCTATATAATATATTGCACATATAATCCTCTGAAGGGTGTCTGCTCATGAGTTGTGTTCTCAAGCTGTCAATACTTGCTAAAGTCGTAAAGAAATAAATTTGAAGATGATCAAGTGTTAAATTGAAACATTTAGGAGTGTTTTATTCCCCTTTATCTGGATATATATGGCTGTCTGATTCAAAACTCTGACCATTTCCCACAGCTCAATTTACTGCCCTGGCTATTATCATGATTATTTGGATTTCAATTGCAATTACCTTAAATATACATCATGTACATTGATCACGTTCATTGTCTGCCTCAGGATAATAAACTTAATTCTTTCTTTATATTATATGTATAAACATTAAACAAGATAAAGATGAAATAAATTTCAGATGTAATATTAATAAATACAATGTCTGAAATGATCTCCATATGGTCATGCTCTATTATTAAATTCTAAAAATTAAAAATCCTAAATTTTAGTAGACAAAGTGTTAAATTCAACATACAGTATCTGATATATACATGATATAGCAACTGGATTTTCATCTAGGTAATTGCATTTCTGAAACTATTTTTGACATAGTGAATTGCACCATAATTATTACCATTTTGATTCATAAATTAAAAATTTTTCTTCCAAATTGGCCAATATTTCAACTTATAACTGTTTTACTGTGTTTGGGAGGAAAAAAAGAGAGACATGCAAACTGCAATCCAAAAATGAAATAGGAGGTCTACAATTGACATGTAACAAAGATTCTGTGAAAGTCTGATTAAATTTTATTCAGTGGTATAGGAGGAGTTGCAGATAAGAGATGAGTACCCCCAAGTGTTATGGAAGGATCTATGGAAGGACAGACACGTACCCCATCATTCTATTACCCCCCCCCCCCTTTGAAATTAGGGGTACAAGTATAAAAGAAGTTTGTATTTGAATCCTGATGTGAGTGACAAAAGGCTTAATTTCTCAGTAAAATTCAGGAATACTGTCAGTATCACAAAGACTGTTCTCAAATTCTTTGACTTTTAGAAGCAGATTTAAAATAGAGACTCCATGTTTCTTTTACCTATAATATAAGAAGTTTATATATTATATACATATATATATTACATGTATAATATATATATATATAATATATATATATATATATATATATATATATATATATATATATATATATATATATATATATATATATATATATATAGGCAAAAGAAAAAGATTGTCAGTCTTTATTCTAAATTTTTTAATTGGACAAAGGATGACAATTACAATTGCATAACTGGTGTATAATAAGGCATGGCCAATATCCCATAGAGTGAACCTAGTACTTTGGTTATTTAAGCATGTGTTAAATGTTGATTCATGAAACATGTGAAAAGAGGTTTACATGTGCCTAGAAGTGCCTTCCTCATGTTTATATCTGATTCAGATTTCTTGATGCTAGTAAATATAAAGTTTGTCCCATAATACAAGTTTAGTACACATACTATTTATGCCCCCTTTTCAAAGTAAGTAAAAGGTCTTGTAGTACACATAGAGGACTCTTGGTTTTTGACCAGTCCACAATGAAAATCTGTCACTCAAAACCATGAAAACTGTATTAAACGTCAGAGTCACAATTTACATATTATATTGTACATATGAGAGACCCCACACCATTACAAATTGAGTGTTAAAGTCTGGACATATTTATCATGTCACTTAAGCATGAATGTGCATTGCCCTCTGGGTATCCCTACGTTAAAAAACATGTTCATCTTGGTCACTCAGCAATAACGCTTGTCAGAAAGTTCAAAGAAATGACAAGGTTTTCTTGAAATCAATTGAATGTGATGGATGACATTTTATTATGAAAAAACAATTTATGACTATTGTGTATTTTTGAGCAGGATAGCTAATGGATACATGTTAAACATCCCGTACCTGACTTTCACACATTAGTGATATAACACAAGTGATATACGTAAGCTAAATAAGTAAATTCATTGAACATGTGTTGAATTTGCCATTTTTTTGTAATCTTTCAGCAATACTAATTTAAAAGGAAAAGTGTCCTGTACTTAAACAGCTACATGCAAAATCAATGATCTATTGTGTCTCTCTGAATTTTTATATTTATCCTTGATTTTTCTCAAATTTTGCCCCATATCATTTTCAAAATTTGCTTGAATAACTTATTTTGATTCTTGATCTCCATATTGTCCATCAAAAAAATTTTCATCATCCCAGAAAAATTGCATTTTGTAGTTAACTATAACATGTATATATAAGGACATTTATTTTCCCTAATCATGCTAATTGGGTAAATTCGCAAAGATTATAAATACAGAAAATAAAACTTTACCATCTGGAACTCCAAGGGAAATGACTTAAGGAGATATCCAAGGATTCAAAATATCTAGGTTAAATTTAATACGTAAAGGAAAAGTTGTTGGGACTTGCAACTCACTTTAAAATATCCATGATATTCCACATATTGATATTGGAAAATACATGATTGTACCAAAGTGATCCACTGTATATCACTCACATACATGGTAATTACAAACATCACAAATGATTCAGTCCAACCAAATTCTTACTAGACTATAAGTGTTTTAATTAGGCAATGAGGCTAATCCTTTGGCACACTGGGAGGAAAAGGGGGTGGGTGGGGTTGGCAGCCCTGAGTGACCTCCCATCCACAAAATTTTTTAACACACCCCTTTATTCTACTTGTGAATGTCAAAAATGAAACAACATGAATTATAATCGTGTGTGCGTTTCGGGAAGGGGATCAGTTTTGTTTCAATTGGTTGAAAATGAAAAAAGAAATTGGCAAGCTTTTTTTCATATCTTTCTTAATTGCTGTATATAATTACAATAAATCTTTAGATCTATGCTTTATTTGTGAATATTAAACTATTATATATTCTTCTGAAAAATCCAAGGAATACATGATTAACAAAACATAATGGATTCACATAAAACAATAGATAATCGAATTGACTTCTCCTTTACTCTTAAAGTTGACAGTTGATATGAGCAACATAAATGTAAATCAATATTAAGTTATTAATACACACATTCCTGATAACATGGATAAGACTATGTTAACTCAGTTATAGATAGTAACTAGATCATGTAGATATGACAAATTTTGCTATTTATGTTAATGTGTCATATCACCGTCTATAAACACTGGGGTATTTACCTGTGCAGGAGCATTTTATTATGTTTAAATGTACATGTACTGCATTTAAAATGACTCAATTATTACTGCATATATTAAACTGCTTTTCTCATTTTTTTTTATTGCTCTGCTAGCATGGTTAGCTAACTGTTGAGAATCCTGGATGTACTGATGCATAAAATATCAGGCTGTTTGATTCTAGATAGTTAATTAGTTAGTTGTGAATTAGTTCATTGCTAGTTGATCACCTTCTTTATCATAATTAAGTAATTCATAATAAACTTTAACCTTCTACATATATCTTAAAATCTCACTTCTATAGTGCAGTAAGTATCGACATGTATCCCCCCCCCCCCCCCCACTCCTCAATAAGTGCATCATGCATAAGCTAAAACTCCACAGGCATTTTAGAATACCCTATTTTGCAGTTTCCTGTCCCTAGTTTGAGCTTTTCATTGGTAAATTTGAGTTGGCAATACGACACCTTAATTCACTTCATTATTCTGATGTACTTTCAATAACATTAACATGATTAAGAAAATGCATGATGACCATGCTAATGATTTTGATTGTTATGCTATTATATCTGTTTTATCAGCAATATACATGATACATATATATATCATGCATATTAATCATTGATTGGCTTTAATATCATAAGTTTATCCCTCTGTCACTGCCAAAGCATTAATCATGTTGGTTAATAAGACCAACATGAAAAAAAATAATTTGGAGCATAATCCAGACGCATAATATCTAGTGGTAGATCTGTATTCAAAATTTTGGAACTAAAATCTGTGGTAAAAATGGAATTTCTGTAATCAATCATGGTAATAGTAATTAAACTGTTGGATGCTTCACCTTGTCCAATACTGATTTCCATTTCACACCCTGGATGACTCTGTTTTTAAGTCACAAATTAACTTACAGTGTAACTATAATAATATACTTTCATCTTATATCAGCTAGGTTAATAATAATTAAATCTTTTGTTGTCAATATTTAACCTCACATACTACAGACATTTTTTTTTAATAAATCAAACTTGTTTACTTTCTGTCATAAAAATAAAAGTTGTGTTTAATTAATGAGTCATATGGTATTACCCCATACCAGCTAGAATACTTGTGCACCATAAAAAGGCAAAGTTACATAATGTATCTAAAATTTACACATTTTTTAAACCAAGTATTTACATTAATTTCACTTTCGAGATTTAACAATGTCTGTGTACAAAGTAATGAACGCATAACAGTCTCCAAATCCCCTAATCTTCATTTACGCAACGTTTTATTTACAAACTTTAACCATACGCCATTTCCTAGTTTGAAATATTACACACCTTGACCTAGTAATACTGAATTTTTTCCCGGGAATGAAAACGCGCAACTTTACCTTAGAAAATCCTGTTGTTCGTTGGAGAATCTGTAGAATATTTCCAGATATAACTTGTCCTTGTACATAATTAACTAGATAAAGTGAAACCAACAGTCCCAAAATCGCTACTCGAGGCTCCATGACTTCACATTTGAAATTGTTTACCTGAACTAAGGGACGCTACTCATGAGCGCTTCCGGGCAGGTGTAAAAACCACAAATTATGAGTGTATTAACCACATGTGTCATGACTAGAATCATATGTATTAAATTCAGTTCAACAAAATTATGTTAAAAAATATTCAATGTTTTACATGTATTACAAATTTATCTCAATTCATTCTCTGTATCACATGTATCTTATTTAAGAAAAGTTGGGGGGGGGGGGGGGGTTAATCAGATTACCAGATATTCCGTATGGTGTTGTTATTCAAAAAGAAAATCCTTATGCCATACTATATCAAAGGCTTTTGATACATCACGAAACACAATTCAATACGATATTTCCCTTCATCAATACTTTTAATTTAGGATACTCTGAAATGTTTCCACTGAACAATTCACTGTCTTAAATGGAACCTTAAACTCATTTTTTTTTTCAATCAATTTTCAACGAAGAATCGAATTATAAGACCATACCTGTCAACATTCCAAATATTTTGGGGGGGAGAAAACGCGCGACGACCTTTTTTGATAGTAAAAAGTCATCGCGCGTTCTTTTTGTTCATACTGATAACTAAGAAATAACAAATGATACACTTTAATGTTCTTTATTGTAATTGTAAGTCTTAAAGACTAAATACATATCAAACGTTATCAAATTAATAAATAATAAATGAAAGCGAATGTATAGGCACACTGGTAAATTCGGGACATTTTTTGAACGACTGCTGATTTTCTGAGGATTGAATTATCTTAATAATTAAAAACGTTTACAAAAATATATTATCCGATAGTTCGATATATACGCACATCAAACACTGTAAAAATATCCTACGTGCATGTAGAGCCCCTCCGAGAAATATATATCTGTGAACAGTGCGTGAGGTCAATAAAATCTTATGTGGAGTTCTACTTTATAATACAATGCAACCTTACATATGTCATGTTCTAATTTTTGAATTTACCGCGTGGGATTAATTTATACAAAATTTTAAACAAGACACATACATGCAGGCTGAAGCTCTTGTTAAAAATTCAGACGGCTTTCGGTGTTTTTAAACCTCTTGTCAAATAAACGATCGAAGCTAAGCATACTTTTCCTGTTACTATCAATACAATTGTAGTATGTTAGTCTGTGATATATATATTTTTATATTATATTTTTGATAATCTCAAGTATGAGAAGGCAAGTTTTTTTTAATTGAGCAAATAAATAGAAATTGTTGCTTTGAGATCATTTTTTCATTTCTGTTTCTCTGAGAAATTTATCATTTAAAATTTATTTATAAGGAAAAAATTAAGGTAAAATAAAAATTAAGGAAAGACGCGTTGACCCAATGCCTTGAGAAATCGAGATTATCTTTCATATTACACATTTGTTGCAATATAAGGCTACGTGGTTCACAGTGGCGGATTTAAGGGGGGTACTCAAATGCCCCTTAACCCTTAAGGGTTTTTATATTCCTATGTAAATCTTGAGCCACTGTTGTGGCCCCGCCCTAACCCCAGGGGTCATGATTTGAACAAACTTGAATCTACACTACCTGAGGATACTTATGTATTGATATGTTTAATAATGGCTTACATGTAGCTGTTAAAATTCTGGAGAAGAAGATTTTTAAAGATATTTCCTGTTTATTCCTATGGTAAACTTTGACCCCTTTTGTGGCCCTGCCCTACCCCCAGGGGTCATGATTAAAACAAAACTGGAACTACACTACCTGAGCATACTTCTATTATAATATGACAAATCAAGGCTTTGCTGTTCTGAAGAAGAAAATTTTTAAAGACATTTCCTATAAATTCCTAAGTAAAACTTTGACCCCCTCCTGTGGCCCCGCCCTACCCCCGGGATTATGATATGAATAAATTTGGATCTGGAGTATGTACATTGTAATGAAGCTTTCACATAAGTTTCATCTTTTCTTACCCAGTGGTTCTTGAGAAGAATATTTTTAAAAGATGCCACCAATTTTTTTTTTTTTTTTTTTTTTTTTTTTTTTTTACAAATTCTTAATTATCTCCCTTGAAAGAGGGCGCGACACTTCCTGTGAAACCTGAATCCCCTTCATGCAAGGATGCTTTGTGGCAAGTTTGGTTGAAATTGGCCCGGTGGTTCTTAAGAAGTCGAAAATGTAAAAAGTTTACAGACAACGGACGAAAGTCGGACGCCGGACACTCTTTGAACAGAAAAGCTCACTTGAGCCTTCGGCTCAGGTGAGCTAATAAAAGGGGGTAAGTGGCCATGGGTAAAGATATTATGATTATTTTGATAGATAAAACAAGAGGAGTTCCATAAAAAAAATGACTGACACCTCAGGATAATCACCACTTCGCTATAGATAACCTGTACTGCAGTAAGAGATGTAACTCTTTTTAAGTTTTTAACATATTGTACCTATCTTGTGTACACACGTGATCAACACGCCACCCGTCAATGAACAGAAGACAAAAGGTATGCATTAAATAATAATATATACAGTGGCGCCTCGTTAATCCGGACGCCTCCGTCCCCAACGAAATCGTCCGGATAAATGAATCGTCCGGATAAGTGAATCACTTCTTAAACGACTTACCCTCTTAAAGCATGTACTCATGAACATAGTAGTATCAAATGTGAAGGCAAAGAAAACACCTTTATTTTACCTTGACTTATTGATTTTATTGTTATAGTTTTAAAAGAAATAATCAAAATTTAAAAAGAAAAAAAATTAATGTAATTTACACGATGAAAAATGGATAGGCAGTTTTATGTTGAGACTTCCTTTTCTAACACTGGAAACTTTACTCGCCTTCTATTTGACGTGTAGTTACATGGGCTGACCAAATTTAGATCTGCTACTGTTTTATTTTGGCACATTTTTTTTTATTTATTCAAGCTCATATTAAGTAGAACTGTTCATTATCACCATTGAGAATGTTCAAATGATTAACCGCGTATATTCACTACATAGGGAAGTAAGTAACTAAATACTGTAATCAGTGTACGTATTGCAAACATTCAACGTAAACACAAGCCATATTCAGGATAATCAATACATTTTCTATAAACTCTTAATCTATATATCTTGAAAAGACATGATCGGCATTTATAACTAACGCCAGTTACGTATTTCTTAGTGCATTTATAGAAATATATTTTCTTGAATTATGTATCATAATAAATTGTCTTATGAAAAGAAAAAAAAAACGTTTCAAATAATGTACGATCGTATTTTGATAAACTTACGCAACACAATACCACAACGAAATCTCGTGATTTATTATTCAGTAAAAAAATTTATTTACAACTCTCCAAAATTCTAATAAATTTATAAGCAGGTAGCAATTTAATTAATGCACAGTATGAGCAAAATTCTTCGGGCTTTATAATATAAAAGACGTGTGTTTTGTCTGAGGTAAACACACGCTAATTATAGACGCTATTGTTTAGAGGTCACAGGTAACCGCCTTCAAACTGACTCCACGGACAATGTTTTTACAATAATTATCACTACTGCAAGAAAGGTGTGAAAAGTCGTTCCTCGAAAAATAACCGTCCGGATAAACGAGTCATTTTTCAATGAAATATTATATTTGTAGTAGAAATTGACCGTCCGGATCCGGAACGCGAATTTCCGGATTAATGAGACAGAATAACGTGGAAAAAATCGGTTCCCAAAAAATATCGTCCGGAAGGTGCATGAAGCGTCCGGATTATTGGCGTCCGGATTACCGCGGCGCCACTGTACATTGTTCGTATTCTATTAAAAACCTATGAATAAAAAATCAAAGTTAGTTTTCCATTCAGATCTTTATAAAATGACATCCTGCCATAAGGTATCAATAAATTCCTCTGACGCTCGTATTAAGGCAGATCACAAATGTACGTAATTTTTTCCCCGTTATTTCCCAATCATGACAAGGAGTGCACGGCGGGTGTGACCGGTCGGCAGGGGATGCTCACTCCTCCATGACACCTGATCCCACCTCTGATGTTTCTGGAGGTCCGTGTTTGCTCTGCTCCTGATTTGTATTCTTTTAATGGACTTTTGAGCTTGAATACTGTTTTTTATCTCTATATATATTTTTATTTGCCTTACGGAGGCGTTCAGGTATCTCGCAGTAAATTTCCAAGATTTTTCTTTAAATTTCATTAAATTTAAAGATACAGAAAACAACACACATTTTAAAAAAATTGCAAATTGAAGACAAAGAACACTATAAATTTTAATCAATGTAATTTCTTTCAGATGTGTACATCAGATATTACAAAGTTCGTCAAGAAACTGGAATCGTTTTGCGAATGTACAATATGCTTTAGCATTTATGACGAAAATGCACATGTTCCTCGAATGTTACCTTGCAATCATACATTTTGCACTGACTGTCTTTTGAAACATTCCTCGCATAAGAAAATAATTTGCCCACTGTGTAACCAAGCGTATGCTATAAAAAACAAAGACATTCTGATCTTTCCAAAGGACAACACGAGACGTGAAATGAGAGATTTGGTTATCACGTTTGCTTCTGAAACCCTCTGCAATGATTGTCAGATATATGAAAGCATTTTTGCCTTCTGTATTAATTGTAACATTCGATTATGCTATACATGCTCTGAAAAGAGAAAGAAAAACGCGTGTCAAAACCACAAATTTGACTGTAAAAGCGATACTCCAAATGACTCAACAGGGAGAAACACCGATTTAACAGATATTTGCCTTCTGGATGGTCATGAGAAAAACGAGCTGAAATTTTTCTGCAAGAATGAAACATGTCACAAGCCTGTTTGTGCCAATTGCATTGTCCAGTTCCACATTGATCATAGCTTTACGAACGTCAACAATGAATGTGAAACTCGGAGGAAGAAAATGTACGAGAAGTGTCAACACATAAAAAGTAAAACAGAAAAGGCAAGAAAGATTTTAATGAAAATCAAGAAATTACGTTCAGTTATAACAATTAAAGAAACGAATGGGAGGGAAAAATTAGCAGCAACCATAAGGAAAGGCATCCATTCTTTAAAAGAGTATGAGCAGAAAGAATCGGAGAGGATGACTGATCAGCTTATATCTAGATTTAATGATGTAGTGAAAAGCCCGTTCCACTTAGAAGAATTTATTAGGTTAGAAGTAAATGCTGTAAACTTAGGAAGGAGAAACGAATACAACAGAGTACTAGGTTTCTATACACTACAAAACACTCTCGGTACGGAAACATGCATGTATTTTGAAAATAGGATAATGCAAGATAAAATAATGGAAGATCTTAAGTTTTTGTCGGAATGCAAAGCAAAAGAGAAGAAGATTACCGACAAGACTATATATAATCTAAGTATTCTTGGGAGAAGTTCCTATTTTTTCCAAATGTTGAGTGACAAAAAAACTTTTGCAAGAAGCATCAGGGAAGAAATCAGGAGTTTACTCGACTACGAAATAAATGCAAATAAGAAGACATCTGATAAACTTACGTGTAATGTAACCAGACTTAAGAAAAGCCGAGACCTTTTACAAAATTTTATTGACAATGCATTAGAATGCTGCTCCATTTCTGAGCTCTCAATTACAGCAGGAAATATTAGTTTTCTGAGCACAGAAAATTCACTGGCACAAAAGTTGGACAGTTTCATCGAGATAAATATTGATGAATTCATTGGAGATTTTCCAACTAGTCAAGAATTTGACATGCAAGAGGAAATTAAATATGTACAATCTAAGATTTCTCAGATAGTGGAGGCAGAAGTGTTTGGTAAGTATATTTTGTGCAATTTCGATCATCTCGTAGCCAAAATTATAAACTGAACTAAAATTTTGTGGTAATTATAAATCTATACTTTCGTCACTTTTCGAAAGTTGTACATGTATTTTGGTCGCCGTCTAGGGGTAAAAATTCACAGAGTTCTCACAGAAGCCTTTGTAACTTTGGTTTGTTACTTATCGTTTGACAAGAAAATTGTTTGCATTATTAATTTCGATTACCCTAGTATAGGGCTTCCTATACTTAGAAATAATTTTTCTAAAAATAAAGCACTCATTTCATGCACACCCCAATGTTTGGTACTATTTGGGGTTGACCTCATTAAAGGACAGCACTCAAGTTACTTTACTGAATCTTTATGTTGCAAATTAAAAGTAGAGCGCTCGCTACGTGATCGGAAGGTCGTGTGTTCGAATCAAGGCCTCGACTGACATAAGTCGATAATAAACAGGTAGTAACTGTTCCTTCGCCAAGCACTCTGTACTTTGAAGTGAAAGTTGAGGGTCCTTCGGATGAAACCTTAAAAACCGAGGCCCGGTGTCACGGTAGGCGTTGGCACGATAAAGAACCCTCACTGCTCAATGGCCCTGAGTGCCGAGTAAAGGTCTAAATTTGAAGCCCTTCATTGGTATATGACGTCTCTGTATGAGTGAGAAATTCTCGAACGGGACGTAAAACAACATAAAATCAATCAATCAATCGTTCAAATTTTATCAAGAACGTACATACAATCCATCTGCAGTAGCAACATTGATGATGAACATAGGCGTCGGAAGCAAATTGAAAGTGGGGTGGCTAATTGAAAGTGGGGGGGGGGGGGGAGGGGGGCTAAACCAACGGAAAAAGGTAAGCACCAATTTCCAATGCCTATATTATGCCTATCTTTGAAAAAAAAAAGTGGGGGGCTAGTCAGATTTGTAGCTTGATAAATGTGTGATTTTGTCTTTAATGCAATTGTCGGGCGATAACTTAACTTGAATTGCAAACCCAGAAATATACCCGGAATCTAAATTTATTTTCGCTCAGCAATTCATTTAATTTTTATTTAATTTTTTGGGGGGCTTTAGTATATGTAATTAGACCCTTTGAAATTACACTGTCATGAGGTCATAAAAATGCAATATGTATGCAAGTTATCAATGTACTACCTTTAAAAATTATAAAGATAATGTGGTATTCTTAAAAAGTAGGCCAAAGTCGAAAGTTAGGTGCATGATTATAATGCTATAATTTTCAAAATGTTTTATGATGAAAAGCAGTGTTCATGCTAAAAAGTTAAGACTTACAACTCCTTGTTATAATAATAATGATAACATGAATTTATAAAGCGCTAAATATTAATAAAATTACCCTAAAGCGCTATACAATAAAACGCAAATAAATATAATTTAAGAACTAAGAATAGATTAATTACATGTAATTTAACATATGTGTATTAGAAATTATAACATTAAAGTTGTAAAGTTACATACATACAATTACGTCATTAAAAACTGTGAATGTTAGAAATTCTTTTGAGATTTGTTGCTAAAATGTGTGCTCCAAGTATTTAAAAAGCTACTCTATAAAAATGTGTCTTTAAATGTCTTTTAAAAATGTCCAGGAACTGGGCCTGTTTTGTCTCATTAGGAAGGTCGTTCCACAAAAGCGCTGCTGCTCAACAGAGCTGGCGTTCACCATATGTCTTTGTCTTGATTTTTGGAATAACTAACCGCGATGTTGACTCCAGATCGCAATGATTTGGTGGACTTGTATTAAATTATAAGATCCTCAATAATAAGATGGAGCTAACCCGTGTATTGATTGATAGACATATAACAAGACTGTATATTGTGGCCGAAAAAGAACATAGTGTATATCGGCGTGTATACATAGTGTATATAGTTCAAAGAACATAGTGTATATCGGCGTAATGAGGCTATTTTGAAAAGCAGATCAAAGGTCATATTATAGGTTACGAGGTCAGAAACTCTGGAATTTTACAAAAGCTATAGTTACAAACTTTACACTATCAAAATTTCAAGCCCCTTTCTTTTGTTTTTCTTTTGTTTCCAAAATAAAATGTGACTGATGGAAAAAAAAAAAAAAACAGGCGCCATACAAAGAAGATGTAAAGCGATATTCTTATCGATTTCAACTTTCATCTATTATAGAATGTCGAATTAATATTGATGGGTATGTTGAACTCTATTGTGGAAGAAACAAAATGGATTTTTCTATAAGATGCTTCTAAGTAAATCCTATTTTAGTTGCGATACATGTACGAGTTCTCATAAGAAATGCACGCATGCTGTACACTTTTTATTTCTTTTATCTTCTTTTCTGGAATCCTTTACATATTTCAGCCAACTTTACAAAAAGCTAAAAGACTATTTGAAGAAAAAGTTTAGAAATAATGCATTTAATAATCATATTTTAAAAAAAACTTGTTTATTTGAAAATAGTCTTACTTGTATCACTAGGTATAAAGCAAAAATGTACGAATTTTAAATATAGATACTTTTTTTGTTAGGTTACAAAATGAATCTAAAATAATGACTATAATCTGAAGATCTTCTCCTGTTGTCTAATTTATCTTATTTTTTTATTGTAAGATTTTTTTTTTTTCAATTGTAATAGATATATACACTTTATAAAATTAAAGACAGATGTATTTCAGAGTTTACTTATAATATATGCATATCCTCTGAAGAATTATGTTAGAGTTTAAAGAACGCTATTGAATTAAACTCTTTTTTATCCCCTCACAATGGAGTTGGAGGGGATATAGTAACGCTCTTGTCTGTGATTGTGTTAGTTTGTCTTTGTGAGAAACGGAAGTGACGTAATTTGCATCGGGATCGGTGTCGAATGCTGTCTTTATTAAAAGATATGCTTTTTACGAGGAGATGCTCTCATTTGCGTTGCACTTGTTGACTATAATGACCATAAATAACTTCTATATTAATTCAGTCTGAAACATATTCTGAAAGTAATTTCCTTTTTTTTATTTTTAGGTGAAGATAAATCGTGTAAGAAACAGAACACCATTGAAACAGTTTTTGCAATAGTCATCATAGTTTTGTTTATGTATATTATTATTATGTATATTATTTATATATATACATTATCCATTTGGTAAATAAGAAAAATACATGTAACACGCAATGTACAAGTTATTGGCGTATTGAAGAAACACTAATTCTTCATCAGATCTTTGCATCATTTAGCACTTTATGTTACACAAATATAACACAATAGATTTGGTATTGTCTACAGACCTCATGCTTTCCATATAAGTGAGGAGATATTGAAGAACAACAAAACATTTGTAGTGTATTGGATCATTTAATTTGAAATCTATACGTAGAATTGGAAATCCGAAAGTCTATAGCTAATAAGTTATCTCCATCATTACACATGTATGTGATGTGATGTGCTAACATGAATACCTTCTGTCATGTATATTCCTTACTCATGACAAAGGTGGGTAAATGGCGAAAAGGCATTTTGTGTGATTTCATAGTTCAAGGTCTGACGTTGTTGATATGTCCATTGTTTTACAATTACTTGCATTTTCTGTAGACTTTAAACTTTGTTTCGATGTATTTAGTGTAGAATCTTTTCATCATAAAAAAACAAAGAATTTTACCAATAAACATCATATAATTACACAACAAGAGATATGCATGTAAATCACTTTATCAAAGTGTTTTTCCCATCATAACTAGGCCTCTAGACCCAATAAATGGATTTCACATATGTATGACAAGACTGCTACATTAAACTGCTGATGCATATTTCCAGTTCCACATCTTGAAAAAGATGAACAGTATATAGCATGCTTGTTTCTATCTGGGAATGTATGTTGAAACCTTATACATTACTAGTAATTGTTTCAACTGTAATGGAAACACAAGGAAGTTACTGTTGTAGTCATTTCTAGAGCCCGCGTTGAAAGATCCATTTTTGGAAGAACGTACTTTCTTCTGGAGTTAGGTACTACATTTGTTAGCTCATAGAAGTTATACTGTAAAAGACAGTGAAAGATGAAAAGGCAGGAAAAGTAATAGCTTCTTATCTTAATTTAATTTGTTTTAGGGACACAAATTTTAATTTAAATAATCCTCAAAAAATTAGTAAATTTTTATCTGACATTCCATATACTGAGTATCCTTTTGTTTTCATGATTTAATAATATTATCCCAGAATCTCTTGCAATTTCTCAAGATTACTCGACGATGTGATGTTTCTTGTAAGATCTTCCTGAACAAATAACAACTGGTCAATGATATGCATGACCCCATTTGTTGCCCCTTCATCCATGTGGATAACTTTCGCTGATGCTCCTCCAAAGAATATCCTCACATTTAAAAAAAAGATGAAAATGTATTATTCAATATATCAGATGTTAGTAAACGTGAAAAGGTAACATTCAGAATACGATCATGTGATCATATGATGTACATATTGTGCATACATTTAATTTGCTCGTTCTTTTAATATTTATTAGCTACACAATCCTTATTCATAGCTCTTAATGAATGCTCTACCAACTGCAGACGTCACGTGTTTATGAGATATACGACTCACACTTGATAAATGTGATAAACTAATGCGTTAGATGCCTTAATTCTAAACTAAATATTATGGATATCACTTCTATCAGTTTTCACAGTTATCACAGTCTATCGATATTTAAATTCGAACTTACATACAACTATATTAGATACTTCTATCATTTGTTTTTGGTTAATCAAATTTTTCTTTCTACATAGCGGTTACCCCCATTCACAGTACAATGCTTTTGACATCTAAAATAAACCCTTGAATCAAAATGACGTTAAATGATACGACACAGACAAATTTACGCGCTTTTTAATGAATAAAGCAAATGATCCCAAATTACAATGTACAACCCGGAGTGCCAAGGACACTGCGTTTTGACAAACACACATTGATAACTGACACCAATACAAAACGTCAACCCCACACTTATGTAGTGAGGATTCTCATCAAATTAATCAACGTTTAGTCAAGGCTTCTGTTTATTACCTCTTTGGTTTGATTTAACGAGACTAACAGTCTCTCCAGAAATCATTCTTATCTCATGGGTTCCATTCCCCAGCTTCTCTAAGAAAATACGCCCTGGAACAATAAGTCTCTTAAACAGCTGAAACATAATCATTATTTGAGCAGTTTTTTTTAGTGAAATATATGGAGATAACGAACAGTATTCAAGCTCAAAAGGCCATAAAAACGATACAAATCAGGAGCAGAACAAACTCGGACCTCTAAAACACCAGAGATGGGATCAGGTGACATGGAAGAGTGAGCATCCCCTGCCGGACGGTGATAATTATCTTCAGCGTTAAGCAATTTATTACTAAGCTAACTTAAAATACAACATAAATATGAGAACAATGAATTTTCGTATTTTATCCATCAAGAAGAACAAATACATAGATGTAGTAAACCTCTGAAAACATGAACGAGTTTATAATGCAGTTAATATTATTGATGAATTGATTATATAATGAAATACAGCAAGAGTGACAAAATGAATAATTTCGTGAAAATCTACAAACAAACACCACTTAGCAATTCTAAGAAAACAGACAATGTAGCATTAGGAAAAAACTGGAAGACGCTGAGTGAATTTAGTTATTTGATCAGTACATTCCTCTGGAAAGCAATGGTTTGTCAACATGAAAATGAAACTTGTAGAAAAAAATGCACATGAAATGACATGCCAAATAGATACATGTTCAACATGAACCTTATCAGCTGCAAGGACTTTTGAAATATTGCACCAAATAGAGATCCACCAATGCAAAAGATTAATTCAAAACTGACACTCTATGATTGGTCACGAATGAAACCCGTTGAACAGGCGATAATGAATAGTGAGCCAAATGGATGCAGTATAAGCTAGAATTCCAAATTGTTGATACCAAACAATACCCTCTTTTGTCCAAGGAAGCTTCTGAAAAGATGAAAATTATTCAACTGAATGAAAACTTCCATTCTGTAACTGGAAAAGCAATACGCAAAGAGCTGACAATAGAGACCATGACAAGACCATGACACAAACACAGTAAAGATACGCAAAAATTGAAAAAGAATGCCTCAACATCGTACTTGGGTGTGAAAGGTTCGACGAGTACATGTATGGACAAGGAAGAATCAGAGTGCACTAGGATCACAAACTTCTTTCAGCACCAAACACCTGCAAAGAACGCTTCGTAGGCCCAAATGTACAACATAGACGTAGTAAGGTACAGAACTACACCTTGCAGATTTATTATAAAATAGTTATTTATGAGAAATGCTTTTATAAGGATTCAAATTGCAAACTACATGACCTACTCGAGCATATTTAGAAGTTTTTCTGTAGGTTTTTATATACAATTTTGTATATTATAAGCTGTTATAAACATAGACGGTTTACAGAATGAACATGAAGTTTATGTGACAAAGGATATTTTTTAAACGTTTGATCACTTGAGCTAAAAAAACTTTATGATAAACGTGATGACTTTAACTTTTCAATCGTCAACTTCCCTTACTTATGCAGCAATATACCCTTATCACCTGCATATGGGGTTTATATCTCTCAGTTGATTCGATACGCAAGAGCATGCTCTACGTATGAACAATTTCTAAAACGAGGTAAGTAATTGACAAACAAGTTGATTAAACAAGAATATCAGCAGTCTCGTTTAAAGTCATCATTTTGTAAGTTCTATGTTCGATACAATGAACTTGTCAGCAAGTACAATCTATCATTAAGTCAAATGCTGATTGACTTTTTTCATACTAATTGTTAGGCCATCATTACACATTGAACTGTCGACGGTTTTTCCCGTTATTTCCCGATCATGACAAGGAGCACATGGCGGATGTGACCGGTCGGCAGGGGGTGCTCACTCCTCCATGGCACCTGATCCCAACTCCGATGTCTTAGAGGTCAGTGTTTGCTCTGCTCCTATTTTGTAATGTTTAATGGACTTTTGAGCTCGAATACTGTTCGATATCTCCACATATTTCAATTGAATAAAAATCCGTCTTCCTGGAATTGAACAGAAACTCTTTTACTTTGATAGGGTTCAGTGAGAATCTTCTATTTTTTTTCCACTTACATATTGAAATCTTGGCGTGTCTCTCATGACTCTGTTTCCATTAAGTGACACTGAAAAGTAGTCTATAGCACTGGAATTAGGAACAAAGACTGTGAATTCACACGCCACGCTGGTCGATCCGCAGTACCCCATGTCGTAGTCGGAGGAACTCTGTGATCCTGTATTCATGCCATTCAGCATGTTACACGGATACGTGTTGCACGGACTTTTGTTAGCATTGCTTGGGTCGCTGCAGTAGCTCACATTCTGGCAGTGGGCTGTTGAGCCACCATTACAAGTTATGCATTGCTGGGATTTTGCGTACTGGGGCTGCGAACAGTAGGCGGGGCAGTTAGACCCCCCAGTCATACAAATGGCCGAGTTACACGGATACTGATTAGCATACTGGGACTGTGAACAATATGTTGGACAGGTTGTTCTCCCTCCAATGTTGGTATTGGCACATATGGATGTATTACATGGGTATTGGTTCTGGTAATTCGCCTGGGCACAATAAGTGGGACATGTGGTGGAACCAGTATTTGTCTGACACTGTGCTGTATTACAGGGGTACTGATTTTGATACTAGGCCTGGCTACAATAAGTAGGGCAGGTCATTCCCTGATTGGTGAGCACGGCTGATCCGTAATTTGGAGGGTAGCCATATATCTCAAAATTGCACTTTTCTGCCGTGAATCTGCTGTCCGTCAGGTAATTTTTTAGTCCCACTCTTCTCATATAGTCGTATGTACGCCTATATTGAAAGACATGTGAAAGATATAAAAATTGAAGGTTCTGAAACACAGTCTTACGATAAAAAAGAACGACTGGTATGTCACTTAAGTCCAATATTTTTGTCATTCACTCAAGGATGTAATGGTTATTGATCATCATTGTTTATGACCTAACTGCACTTACAGTAGCCAAATGTCATGACAGATCAGCATGGGGAGATCCAGGTAGGGGATTCCTAGAACGGAATCAATGATGTGGATCATGCCGTTAACAGTCTTTATATCCGGTCGGATCACGCGAGCCTTCACATTACCTCCCTGTACCCAGATTTCTTAAAATAGAAATGACATTGCTTTGTAAATTTTTTTCGTCTAGAAAATATTATTATTAATAAATGGACAAGGGTTGATATGAAATCACCGTGTTTTCTCCTTCTTAAATCCCCTATATAAACATGAATATATATAAATCAAAATAGCAATTCTAAAACCAAGAGAATATTTTTGAATTCTCATTTTGTTTTCTTTTTTGGAGGGTGGGGTGGGGATGGGGGTCTGCTCAGCAGGTTAAAAATTCATCCAATGCATACTCTTTCTTACTGGTCTGATGGTAAATAGTCTGCAACTATTTACCATTTCTTTCATTATAAATGGTGACACTCTCGCCATTATAAATGGTTCGTCTGTATTGACGACTCTCATATCTGCTTAATGCTGGCAAGGAGGAGATAATAATTGGGTTGTTGGGTACTAGAACATGCAGCCAAAGCACCTGGAAAAAAAACAGTGAAATAATCTTGGCTGCATTAAAGATCATAGCCATATCATAGCCATAGCAGCTACCCTACTTACTAAGCTAGATATCTGGGTCAATTGAAAACACCATAAGAAGTAATGGCTGTTTATCATTGCATGGCCATTAGGCTGGCATATTCTTCATAATCATAGCCTTTTGTTCAGTCGTATCCACTACAATCTTAGGATGCGGTAATGCTGTTATTTAACCACTGAGTAGCACTGTTAATGCGTACTATGAAGAAATTGACGAAATAAGGAATTACCCAAATAGATACATTTGAAAACTGTATTTATTTCTGTAAAACTATTACATTATTAAATGACTGTATTATTATTTGAAATACCATAGCACACCCCACACTGTATTGAATTTAGTTTTGTCATTTGCTTAGCCAGTCACGTGATAAATGAACATAATACGTATTTTCGGAGTTCATGCACAAATTTCAATATCACAAGGGCATACCCTAATTTAAATTTAAAAATTAAGTGATAAGTCGATTTTACATATCCTGTAAATTATGAAAAATGCTGTTGCTTCAAATGAAATTCAAATTTTGTCATTTGAAATTCAAGTAATTAGGTTCAAGTTGAAATATGTGTTACTTTCACAAAACATTTTATATATCTATTAAGTAATGCTCTCCAATTTACAAAAACAACTTTTAAAGTTAAGGAATATTTCCTTCATGTATATTCAAAAAATGGCCAAGATCTGTTAAGTGTATGCCCTTGCAATTGCGAAAAGGCAATTTAATGAGGCACCTCGATGTTAAACACACTAACCCTGTACACAATAACACGGTATAATTAATTTGTTTGTTTGTATGTTGTTTAACGTCCCTCTCGAGAATTTTTCACTCATATGGAGACGCCACCACTTGCCGGTGGAGAGCTACAAATGTTGTCCTATGCTCGGTACTTACGGCCATTGAGGAGTGAGGGATCTTTATCGTGCCAGCACCTACTGCGACACGGGACCTCGGTTTATACGGTCTCATCCGAAGGACCGGTCTCCACGTCCCACAGTGGGATTCGAACCAGCGACGTAAGGATCAACTCCTTACTTCGCGACTCTAGAGCAGACGCTCTAACCACTGCGCCACGCGGGCCGGTATAATTAATTAAATAGATTTTGTTTATAATAATTAAATAGCGGTACTAAACAAAAGTTTTGCATTGGTATTCATGGTCTAACTAATATTTTAAAATAATATTCTTTTGACAATAAAATGCATTTTCATTGTAAAAATATTACTCTACCTGCCTCTCACTACACATAAAGAAGTTAAATCTCTTCATGATGACGTCATGTCGACAAGTGCATTGCGATAAATTACTTGTTAATATTTCCTTGTGTGGGATTAAATCAGCGACAAAAAATTAATGCAGCAATGAGTTTTGGTATAGTTCATTGCTCTTATACAGTCTAAAATCGTAAATTATTTCATTTCCTAATATTTTGAAGAATTCTCATTTTGTGTGATGTCACAGTAAGCATTTCCCGTATAAATTAGGCCCGGCCCCCTTTCTGTAGCCTTAAGAATGTTGCGTGAAGGGCATACATAAAAGAAAATAATTCTGACAATGACTGAGGTCTAAAGACTAACAACTTTTAAAGGTATGGATGAAAAAGGGAGTAACTCAGTTTTCAAATAAAAAATTGAGTTCACCCACTTTTCAATATGTGAATATGTCAATATCTGAATAAAAACAATGATTTATTTTGGCTTTGAAGTAGCCTAGATAGTCACCGTATTTATTAGTATCTGGTTACTGTTTAAGTTGACCCAGGGTATGTTAGCGATTTTCTGGAAGGCACTGTCAAGAGGCACGAAAACAGTTACCCCCGAGGGCTTCGCCAGGGTAAGCCTTGTGATCTCCGTGCCTAGATTTATCAGCTGGTCAAATTTCCTTAAAATAAATAATAAATGATACAAGAATAAAAAATACAACAAAAAGGAATTTGAATAAATATAAGGACATCCAGCTTACTTATAAGACACTGTTACAGTGATCATGCTTAATGTCATGAATTCACGTTTATATTATGAATAAAGCAAAGTTATTATTATTCCCAGGCCTGTAGTTTTAAATATGAATAACCAAGTTTTTTTTAAGTTTACATTATTTCTTTGGAAGGGATTGGATTAATGTTTAAGAGATAATTTCTCTTTGGAACTGATATTTGAAATTTCCAGAAAAAATTAAACAACGGTTAAATTTTATATTGCAGATATACTAAATATTGAGTTAACATACTTTTCGAAAGAAGCAGAGGAAACATTCCAATGAAAAAAAAGGAAAGATTTTTAGAAATCCAGGAACTTTTGAGTTTACAGGAAAAAAAAACAACAAAATCTCTTGTCATTCTTTAATCCAATTAACCAAATGCTAGGACTCCCAAAGAAATTCAACTTACGTTCCCTCTTGTAGAATTTGTTCACGAACGTTATTGTACACGAATCCCAACAGCTGATCGACCACGTGCACCACTCCGTTGGTCACCGTTATATTTCCTTCAATAATGGCTGCACTCACACCGTCGCTGTTAACATACACTGTAATCAGGAAGGAATCATTTTGACTTATTATCATTATGAAAAAAAATGAAAACACTGACCAACCAGCTTATAAGATTGCTACACGAACAATCATTTTATGTAGATGAAAAATGGTTTAGAGTTGCCTCTCATGAGATGCTTTTCATTCCCCTTGGCTTTAAAATATATCGTGCACGTAACAGATATAAGGAATTATATAACAGTTTTTAAATAAGTTTTCCCATTATGTCACAAATGCAGTAAGTTTCACTATAAACCCTTAAGAATGCCGAATCACACCGGAACAGTTATATAACATGCCGGAAAAAGTTATATCACCCGACGGAAGCAGTTATATCACCCTCCCGATCATCCTAAAGTGCTTTTATGATACACATTATAGCTCGGGTTCCAGATTTTATGAATTCGGTTGCTAGGCAAACGTAAACAACTGAGCGTAATTCTTAACGTCATGAAAGCATTCTTGGATTTTTGTCTGAACTTTAACGATTTTAGACGATTTTTTAATTTTAAAAAAAGTTATATAACATATACCACATGGCTTTCCCTGTGACTTTACCAGTATATTTGCCCCTCGCTGACAAGGAAGCCCTGGAGTGTTGTGTCACCCTCTGCTTTCGGCATCGGGTGACATAACACTCCAAAGCTTTCCTGTCACCTTGGGGCAAATATTCTGGTATGTCACCCTCGAAGCCATGTGATGTATGTATACTATAAACCCAGAAGAATGCTGAATCATACCGGAAACAGTTATATAACACGCCTCGAACGGTTTTATCACCCGACGGAAGCAGTTATAACACCCTCCCGATCATCTTCACGCGCTTTTATGCTACACATTATAGTTCGGGTTCGAGATTTTATGATGTCGGTTGTTAAACAACGGAGCGAATTCTTAACGTCATGAAAGCATTTTTGGATTATGCCTTCTGCATCTGGTGACATTACACTCCAGGGCTTTCCTGTCACCTTGGGGCAAATATTTTGGTATGTCATGCTCGAAGCCATGTGATATGTGTATAATGTTTACAACAAAGCAAAATCATCCGTGACTGGCACTTCATTAAGCCTGTTTTACTGTAAGCTGACTTTAATGTTAAGTTACATGAGTTCTATATTTAAGAAATGATTGCAAGATCACAGATTGACAAAATAAATGTTTTAGTACATTTAATACTGTGTTGGTCTAAAATTTCTTTAAAATTACATAATAAAGTTTGGGGTTTTTTAACCATGCATCAGCAAAATAGATTGTTTCTGTATATTGATGGATACTTTTTGCTGAATTGTTATGTTTACCAAGGTATTTCAGTTATCAGTAAATTTAAAAAATGCAAATAATTTATTCATTATGTAATTTGATTAAGGATGAAATTATACATGAGTAACAGACACATTATATTACAACAACAGCACCAGCTTTGGAAACTTTACGTGTAACTTACCATTGTTATCTGACGACTTCCTAAAGGTCAATGGTTGACCTCTTGCATTGGTAAATTCTTCATTATGAGAAATGCAGTTGGTAAAAATAGCTCTATTAGGAATATAATGAGCTTTAAGAATCTAAATAAAAAGTTTAAAGTTAAACCAATTGTATTCTGTTTGCAATCTTATGCACTTTTAATGATTAAAAAAGTTTAAAATTAGAACAATGTTGGAGGCTCTGAGCATTCTGCAACAAAAAGTGGTGGTGATAGGGGCAACCTTTAGATGAAAATTTCCTGTAGAATCTGATATGAATACATACCTGTTGTTGTTATGTGGAATCTGATAAAGCTATATTCATCTGTTGTAATTCTTTGAGATCTGATATGTGTAAATTTATCCATTGAAATTTTGGGGGATCTGATATTTGTGTATTTTTTGTTGTAATTCTGTAGGATTGTCTAATAAGTGTATATTTAACCTTTGTAATTCTGTGGGATTGTCTGATAAGTGTATAATTACACATTGTAATTCTGTGGGATTGTCTAATAAATGCATATATAGTAACCCGTTGTAATTCTGTAGAATTGTCTGATGAGTATACAGTCAAACAGGTTAATAATGAAGTGCCGGGGATGGATGATTTTGCTTCCCTTTAAACGAAATTCATTATATGCGTTAAATTCAAAATATATATTTAAGGCCAAGGGAAATGAAAATAACTTTGCTATGTCAATTCACTATAAGTGTTTTCTATATGAGCGTGCTTTACTCTTTGATCCGTTTTTAATTCTGTGGGATTGTCTAGTAAGTTTATATTAGTCGTTGTAATTCTCGTTGATATGTGTATATGTAGCCGCCTTGTAATTCTCGGGGAACTATTAAGTTTACCCATTTTAATTCTGTGGATTTGTTTGATAATTTGTCATGCTATGGGATCTTGTAAGTTTATATTTGCCCGTTGGAATTCTATAGTATTTTTTAATGAAATATATGGAGATAACGAACAGTATTCAAGCTCAAAAGTCCATTAAACAATACAAAATAGGAGTATATTTACCTTTGGTAATTCTATGGGATCTGCTAAGTGTGTATTTACCTGTGGTAATTCTATGGGGTCTGCTAAGTGTATATTTACCTGTGGTAATTCTATGGGATCTGCTAAGTATTTATTAACCTGTGGTAATTCTATGGGATCTGCTAAGTGTTTATTTACCTGCGGTAGTTCTATGGGATCTGCTAAGTGTATATTTACCTGTTGAATTCTGGGGGATCTACTAAGTGTATATTAATCTGTGGTAATTCTGGGGAATCTACTTAGTGTATATTTACCTTTTGTAATTTGGGGTATCTGTTAAGTGTATTTTAACCAGTTTTAATTCTATGGGATCTCATAAGTGTATTCTTATCTGTTGTAATTCTATGGGATCTGATAAGTGTATATTTACCCATTATAATTCTGTGGGATTTTGTAAGTGCCTGCTGTAGTTCGGGGGGATCTGTTAAGTGTATATATACCCATTGTAATTCTATTGGATCTGATAAGTGTAGAATTACCTGTTCTAATTCTGTGGGATCTGATAAGTGTATATTTACCCATTATAATTCTGTGGGATTTTGTAAGTGCCTGCTGTAGTTCGGGGGAACTGTTAGGTGTATATATACCCATTGTAATTCTATTGGATCTGATAAGTGTATATTTACCTGTTCTAATTCTGTGGGATCTGCTAAGTGTATATTTACCCGTTCTATTTGTAAGGGATCTTTCTTCAGTCTGTCCAACTGGGTGATAGGTATCTTTTGCATTGCACTGTCATTGGGAACAAACAAGGTGGTGATCCTGGCTGGTGATGAAAGATCATTAATGTTGTCCACCACATATAGGTAGCTCATCAAATCTAAGAATCTTCCGTAATTTTAATTTTTAATAACAGTCTGTAATTATAAACTCATCTTAAGTAAATGTACTTTAATAATTAACAACAAGTTTTATTCACTATCCATTATTCTCTGGATATTCTAAACAGACATATTAATTAATCACAGGGGAGACATTGAACTTTCACATTTCAAAAGAGGAACATTTTCAGCAGTTTTCTCTTTGCCCTTTCATTCTTTATAAAATTAGGAATCTACCCAACCATCCAGGATAACATACAGAATCAAATTTAGTATCAGTATACGTCTTACGTCTTACTGCCTATCCACCAACATATCAAATTGAACTTAATAGGGCATCCATAAAAAAGTAATTAGAAAGTAAACAGAAACAGAAAGTTTGCAGACAGACATTATTTTTTTTTTCTAAAATTCTGGGTCGTCTTGCTAACCAAAATATTTGCGATTGGAATTTCTGCACTCAAACTGTGCCAGGTAATTAAGCAAAATTGAGTTTTGCCGACAAAAAGTGATTTACAGTATACCCTGCTCTGAAAGAAGTGCACATACCTAAATCTCTGTGTAGCATCATTTGGATTTTCGATCCACCCATAGGTTGTTTTTTGACTTGTTTTCCGCATGACCCCATTTAGACCATGAACAACTCCATTGGTGGCTGATATGTCGCGGGTTGTTCCCTCTGATATCTCAATGCCATTGACGTAATACTTGATTGGTCCAAATGTGCCTGCTGAGGTCTAGAAGAACGCAGAAGCTACATTTAAGGGGGCCGACTGGGGTTTCCATTGCGTAATACTTCGCGCATCATAGTGAAATAAAGCAAATTTATTCTTTTTTAAGCAACTATTTTCACCAAATTAATAAAATTTAACAAAATTAAGAAATCACAGGTTTAAAAACCTTATTACAATTTTATATAACTACTTTTTTAAAGGAATTTTACAAACGATAGGTAGATAGGCAACGTAGTAGTGTGTTAGTGACGTTAGGATAAACTGAAAGTCTTTAAGAAAGGTTCATAAAAATGTTATAAAAACAGAAGTACAGGTATACATTATAAGCTCTTGAAATTTTAAACATAGAGATTTGAAAATCTCACAATTATTTTTGTAATTTAAAAAAAAAAAAAAAAAAAAATCCTTTGTAACTGTCACCTTTTGTATTCCATAAAAACAGTAAAATTTTGACATTTTGAGAAACCTCCCTCTGGAAACCAGACAATAGAATTTTATGTTTCTTACGTATAATGCACAATATAGTATTACTCATCACATATTATAATTTGAACAAAAAGTATATTGTAATTTTTGTTTGAATAGCTTTAAAGAGCGAAAAAATGGCATTTCCCCATATACATGTAATATTATAGTAAATATACCTGTATTTTGAGACGGCCCCTAAAAATATTTAGACGGTAGATTTTCCCTGAACTTAGCATGTACACTGAAGTCAATGTAAGTTACATATGGTATGAAATTAAAAAGAGTTTCTCAATTGTAGTTTTTACACAATAAAACCCCAGTCGGTTCCCTTTAGCAAATGATATGCAATTTATTTTACCCGTGAGACAAAATTTACCAAATTGATGAAAAAACTTTAAAAAAAAAAACGATGTCTTACTCATGAAATAAATACTTTTTTTAACTACAGAATATTAAATTTTCTTTATACATCTGAATATAAATTTGTCCTAGGAAAAAGAGAACTTTATCCTTCTTGAGAGTAGTTCATTCAATGTATACTTAAGATTGATATGAAAAATATTCATCCTCAAAATCACTGAAATATGAAAAATAGGTTTTTATTAACAGGTGATCACACTGTACATTCACGAAACAAATCTTATTGGTATTTATTGTTTACTTCCAGATCAATTCTCAAATACTCTAAGACAATTTTAGTTGACACTTAAGGTTCATAGTTTTTAGAGGGAGAAAAATTATCCTTGATGACATAGTTCACACAGCTCAGCAAATTAGCATTTTAAGCATATTTAATATGCCGCAGTACAGTTAAGGCAACATTTTCTATAAAAAGGCACCAAAAACGAGACACTTAAAGTTCAACCGTCTTATTTTTTAGCATGAAACTCTATCTGAAATATCTTAATGGCTTTATGAAGAGTTTGTCCATCGCTTTTCACATCGGTATTTTTTGTCATCATGTGACCCTCTAAAGTCACGTGAGCTCCGATTTTAGGACAAAATATGAAATGTCAAATTTAACCAAAAAGTGCAAGGGCAAGGCAAACAATATTTGAACTGCACAAGGTTTCATTGTGTCCCTTGGTATCTAGCCTATCGAAAAACTGATGCTCATTCAGTCAGATTTCTGAGATATTTAAGTTATTCATTGAAAACAAACACCAGTATTCAAAAATAGGGTATTTTTCGTCATTTAATCGGAAATTTTAAATTGCCTAATGAATTACAAAGAAATGAGCATCACTTTTTAAAAACTATACAGTAAAATAAAGAATTTGAAATAAAAACCTACCTCTTGGGTTGTCGCCTTGCCCTTGCACTTTTTGATTAAAAATTGAAATCTTAACACATTCATTCTAAATATAGTTTTCAAACGCATCATTGACCCAACATGGGAGATAACTCTGTGATACTTAGTAGAGTGTGTGTACCTCGCAAATTTTAATCAAATAATACCTTCGGACTGCGTTGGGCTTTATTTCACTAAATCAAAACGGTATGCATAAAAAAATCTTTGACTTTACTTTGTTTTGTATATCTTCGTTCTTTTATACGCTACACAAGACGTATTTGACACCTACCGCATTTCCTCCGTTCGCCTAAAATTTGCCGCAACATCCATCATGTAAATGAATTGGAAAATGCCGATGGTTAAAAATATTGAAAGATTCAGTCATTTGTAATAAAAAAAAAAAAATAGACAGCCCCTATCAATGATAAAACATTTATTCTTCCTCATTAGACACACAGTAAAAATATCTCCAATAGAACTTAGTAGTTTTTTTTAATTTTTTTTTTTATGTGATTATTTTAGTTATCAAACCTTCAACTGTTTATGGATTCTAGACTACGTTAAAAGTTTTAAGAACAGAAGGAAGGGATTGGGGTGCTTACTCCTGTATTTAATAACCTGTTTTCCTTTCTACAGATCTAACCCCCCCCCCCCCCCCCAGTTTGCCTCTGGCTCCTTTGATACCATATACTTACTGGCGTGTTAAAAATAAATTATTAAACAGTGTTTACATCAGGTTTTACTTATTTGGGTATTGTAGCACAAATCATATCGGCGTAGAGGAGGAAGGGGGGGGGGGGCTTTAGTCTCATGTTTTTGAGTAATTATCAATCAATGCGCAATCAAGATAATCATTGTAAAAATTTTGTAATCAAGAAACAGATACTCTGTTAAATAACAGGTGGACACAATATACATGCTGAAATTTAGATCTTGTACCTCAAAACACAGACAGGCGCATACCAGAATGGAAGTGAAGTGTACGCAGAGAATGGCTGGGGTCCGCTTTGAGACCCCCAGTGGGTCCAGATGAGGGCCCAGGGGCGAAGTCCCTGGAAGCTCATGGTTTTTTACCAAATATTTCATTCAAAATCATGCTATTTCAAGTTTCTTTAGAAAATACAAGACATAGTACTTAATATTGTTTTTAACACAAAGTTAAATACTTCCATGCAAATTTATTGTACATGTAGAGGCTGAATATTTTTTTTAAAAAGATATATTGGTATCATCTTTCCGCAACAAATATAATTAATAATTTCAATTTTTAACAAAAATAATATTTCAAATCATATTCTAGTGGATCACAGCATTCAACGGTTGATATTTTCTCAAAGATCTTAAAATAAATTATCAATGTGTTGTAGAAGAATTACAAATTAATGAATGTTTTATTTGGTTTTGGCAATGATTTAATAAAGTATTACAATTTTTTTTTCAATTTTTTTTTATAAAGACATGGTAATATAGAATTTGAATTTGAATCGAAACAGTATGAGATAAAATAATTTGAAACACAAATATTTGCTGGATGGTATTGATATTTTTTCTCTTCTCACAAATCTCTCCCTCCCCCCCCCCCCCCATTTTTTTTAATTTGTAAACGATGTGTACGCACCTGCGTATTTGCGTATAAGCAGCTACGCGCCTGTCAGAATACATGCAAGTAAACTTAAGATACTCAAATCTTTACAGCCTTCAAACTTTCACACCATTGTACTGTTAAAAATTCAAAGTATTAGTTATCTAGAAAATTTATTTAATTAAAAACAGCCTTTCAAATTCAAAGACAAGCTGTGAAGGGATTTCTGAGCAGGTGCAAAATATTTCAAACAGTCCACAGTTCAAAAACAGTTCTTCTGGATGAAATCAATTCTGAAAACAAAATGAAATACCATTATGGAAGGTTCATTGGTTTTTTAAAAAAGTGATACTCAAAACAATGCATTGAGTAACATGGAGAGCATAATTATACATGACTCTACTGTTTTATTATCAAAACATTTCAATAATCTTGCTAGGAATATGTATGGTTTAGAGCTTATATGGAGCATACCTTTTTATTTTATTGGTGGAAACACTTGCTGCCTGAATGAATTGTTCAAATTGTTTGAGGGTAGCTATAACACAATATATATGCAATGAGTGAAAAACATAATGATTACTATTGTAGAATGAAATGACATTGCATTGTACAAAACAAACCATGCTATACTATATTTTCTGAAATTCACAAAATAAATGGAAACAAACTTTTGATACAAAATTTTTCTGGGAAATTGAAACCTATGACATTTGCAAAAGTAGAATTGGTAGCTATACTTAATTTAAGTTAAAAAAAAATCAATATACTAGAGATAACATTTAATTCTTTCACCTATACAACATTAAAAAAATTTTTAACACTGGCATACTATAAAATTAATGTGAAATGCTTTAGTGTGGCACTGGTAAAAACTGAAATCTTAAAATTCACATATTTTTGATTGCCAGAGGTATAAATTAAAATTTATAGGGTCTTATACTCTTGTATGTACAGTGCACATACATTGTACACTGTGCAGTTTGACTTCACAAATACACTGTAAGTGTGACTGCATCTAAATTATACTATTTGATATCATGACGTGCTGTGCTTATATTATGTTACATGTTTGTACATGTATGCCAAAGGACAACATCATTGCATATTTAAAAGTGTGCAACTTTCATAATGTGTGCGTTTTTGTGTGTGTGTGTGTGGGGGGGGGGGGGGTACACACAAGGCACTGCATTGCAGTTTGTGACGGACTGTAACAATACATCTTATTGTACCTGTTCAAGGTTATTTTACATCGATGTAAAGAATAGTATGTCAACATGTTAATGCCTATGCACATACACACCTTAGTAAACAGAAGGGACCTAGGGAGGTAGTGCTGATCGTCTCAGTTTTCCATGATTTCCCGAAATAACATCATCATCTTCTCATCAAAAAGATAAACAAGGCCAAGGTCTCTTATTTTATCCCTATTCTCTTTAAAGATTGCCTGATTGTTGCATTTATCCACTGCATATCTCAGCTGCTATCGCCACGTTTTTAGATGTAAACAGTCCGTGTCACCGAGTGCAAGCGCTTGGCTGAAGCCGAATGCAGCCAAACGACACAATAAAAAGAGAATTATTTCGAAGACGTGTTGTTACTATATAAGAGAAAATCACTAATGTTTATTTATTTAAACCTGAAAATACAGACATTCATTACAAATTCTCGCAATCATCATTAAATAGCTTTTTTGAGCTCTATTTCCTTATATGGATCTATCTAGGCGGAGCAACTGTCATGACGTCAAAGCTCATTATGACCTCATTACCATATTATCTTCATGTGTAGCCTTAACTGTACTGCGGCCATTGTTAAGCAATTTTGGACACTAAAATCATTCAATTAAAAAATTGACGTATCAAATATTTATTGATTTTTTTCTCTAAAAATTTCTTAAGCTTATTTAAAGTTTTCAGCATTTTCCAATTAGTATTGCTATTATAATAAATAAAAAATCTTTCCATTTATAAAATTTTGCTCAATAAATATAAAGCATGTCATTTAACATCAGAATTAAGGCAATACAGAAATATATCAAAGCAACAAACACAATCTTTAAGCTCATTTTCATAAATGTTTGCTGCTTAGGCAATTTCTAGCAGTTTTTAAGGACTGAGTCAAAACGTAAGCATTTTCATAGTTAGTATTAAACATAGTGTACATTATGTCTTTAATACATTAATTTAATGAACTCGAAAATCATTTAAACAGAAATCTGTACTACAATTAAGAGACTTCCTCACATGTTGTTATCATAGATAAAAACAGACATATCCATTACAAAGTCCTTGACTACCATCAAATTGTAACAGAAAAGGCAAAAGATGCGACAGACCAGAATCAATCCTGGGCTCTCTAAACCTTTCCAAGATGCTCTACCAACTAAGCCATCTGGTGAAATATGCCGCAAAATGTAAACATCTAGGTATCAAAGATTACAAAGCTCACCTTGATAGATAAATAAGGCAACCTCTCACACCAAACAAATATTTTGAAAGATGCATCATCGCTAGATACATCTAGTGGATACAAGTTTGGTGCAGGCAGGATCTGTACTTTTAAATAGATCTGCTCTAAACACATTAGCTGTTCAATCACACTGTGAATATAGTCTAGATCCAGCTTCCGAAGCATATCAGTTACTGTTCATACCTACTAACATGCATTATCAATGCAAGTTCAGTCGCCATAGAGCTTACAGTTTATTTGGGATCTTGGTAGTGTGTATCCCTATATACAACCTCTAGATACAATGTTGGTCCATACAGGATTTTCTATGGGTTAATATCCCAAAAGATACCAAGGGACATACTGTTGAAAAGTGTGGATTTATCTTTTCCATTTATCTTTCCTTTTACAATAAAAGTTTCTGGAATAAATTACTTTATCAAGAACACAACATAGCAAAAATTTTTGTCCAATACAATACTCCTCACACATTAATGTTACCTGACAGTGTATGAGTTTAAAGCAGAAAAGTCAATTCCAGTACTAGTGCACTACAAATCCCAAACACTTACGGTGTACAATCTTTTTTTTCTATTTATAAATAACTTGTCACCTTTGACGCCCATGCTTCGGAACTGCATATTGTTCCTCATGGTGACTGTTGTAAGTCTCGATCTCTTGACTGTGAAATCAAAATACAATACTCTGCCCATGATGCGTTCCAAATACAAGTAAATAGAACGTGACTTACTGTGTCTGTTCTCTGGACACGATTGAAAAAGAGGAAGCCACGATTGACGTTTCTGACGTACTGGTAATCCTGGATAGAAGTGGTTGTAACACGTTTTTCTGGGACTGAAAATCACAAAGATGGAGGCAAGAATATCAGACGTTGACTCTGACTAATATTTAGACATACAAAATATATACATGACCAGATGAAATCCCGCGCAAGCGCGGCGAACAGAATGTATACCACTACCGACAGAAAGTATATTGTAGTTTCTACTGGCAGCCTTCAAGCTTAAAGAAGGAAGAAATACTTTGTTCAAAATTCCGCATGAAATAGATGTACGTCTTCACCCCACCCCTTTTTGTAAAAAACTTGAAAAAATAACAATTTTATTAATTGACATTTATTGTGACACATGTTATACTATGTTATGGATACTGTACTTCAGATGCTCTTATTTCATTTCTGTCAAGGATAAAAGCATCGAATATGCACATTTTACTGATAAATTGATTTGGGGGGAGGGTAAAAATTCACAGGTACTTGGGTCTTGGTTTATAAATATGTATGTACCTTATTGATATGTAAATAATATGTAATTACTTGTGTAAAAAATAGCTTTAAAAGCCCTATGAATAGGCCGAGTATTTGACACAAAAGAAAAAAACTGAAATGTATTGATTAAAGCAGAAAAATTTACGCCTTTAATTGTATTTGAAAAATACCTTATTCATTAATATTCTCTTTTCCTGTAAGCATGTTTATTACGAAGTACAAATTGTACTTCGGGTTCGTTTCCACAATGCTCTTAGTAAGGAAAATACAAATTTTACCGATAAATTTCTTAGAAAAACCTACTTCATGTACGTAATAGTCTTTTGATATATAAATGCATGTATATTCACAACTTATAGTTTTATCAATGATTTACCATTATTTCAATGACCATTCACACAAAAGCTTCATTTTATGTTCATGCAGCTATAATCGCCTCGTTTTTCTTTTTTAACATCAGGCTCGATGCTATATGATGTTCTAGAAGCTTCCGTCAAATATACTCAACAAAAAAAGTTAAGGGTAATTTAAAATATAGTTAAATTCTAAAAATCTAAATTCGGAAATTTATCTAAAAATGATGTATATGATTATCCATAACTACAAATGTTGTTTGTTACTCTTCGCTGACTTGTCGGTCCTCGTGTTCAAAGCCAAACGGAAAAGTCTCAACCCTAGTCAGCATTGCAGACTGAAACTGGTAAGCATGTCTTCAAAAATTACTGTCAGTACTTCATGCTGACAATAAGTAAGGAAAAATTAACAACACTTATACACAAATGAATTACAAGTGATGCCTGAAAGACGACGTCTTAATGTACAGGAAGCTGGTAGGGCCATAGGGATGCTACAAACTGGAATGTCACAAGATGCAGTGGGTAGATTGATGAACAGGTCACAAAGCGTCAATGGTCGGTTCTGGCAAAGATTTCAGGAAACAGGATCAGTCCAGGAAATGCCTCGGAGTGGAAGACCACGATGTACGACAGCCCGGCAGGACCGCAAACTTGTATTGCAAGCAAAGCGAAACCGATTCAACTCGGCTGTTGCCTTAAACAGGGACTTTCGCAACACACATGGCGTAAACATTTCTAATCAAATTTGCAGGAATAGCTTCAGGAAGCTAACTTGAAAGCAAGACGTCCTGCCACACGCCCAATTTTGACTGCAGACCACAGAGTAAGGAGACTGGAGTTTGCAAGAGATCATGCAAATTGGCAAATCCGTCACTTGAGATCCGTACTCTCTACAGACGAATCCAAATTCTGCGTGGATTTTAATGATGGAAGGCGACGAGTCTGGAGACAGAAGAAGGAGCGTTTCAGTGACTGCTGTGTGGCTCAAAATGATCGCTTTGGTGGAGGTTCTGTTATGGTTTGGGGAAGGATTTCTATTAAGGGGTCCACGCAGTTAATACGTTGTACCTCATCAGAAATGGAGCATTGACCGGTATCAGATATAGAGATGAGATCCTTCACCCAATCGTGATACCATTTGCCGAGGCCATAGGTACAGATTTCGTTTTAATGGATGATAACGCCAGGCCACACAGAGCAAACATCGTGAACCAGTACCTTGAGGCAGAGACTATCGAGAGAATGGAATGGCCTTCGAAGTCATCTGACCTCAATCCTATTGAACATACCTGGGATGTTCTACAAAGGCAGATTCAGCAACAGGATCCTGCTCCATCCAATACCAATGAATTTGAAGTTGCTCTGTTAGAGGAATGGGATCGCATTCCCTAAAGGACCATCCGTTCACTCATTCGAAGTTTCCCGAGGCGACGCAGTGCTGTTATTCAGGCAAGGGGAGGCCACACAAAATATTGACATTTGTTGGATCAATCGCCGTTTTCTAATTTAATAAATTTTGCAATTATTGGATAGTGATTTTCACTCTGATTAAGAGGGTGTGATTAATTGTTAGCCGTGTTCTTCTGTCCAAGTGAACATTAACCATTGGTTTTTCATCAAATGTGTAGTTACTTAACAGAACAAACTTTGTGATTTATTTGGATTAAATATACTTTTCCGATATAGAAATTATAAATGAAGATTTTCATAACCCTTAACTTTTTTTGTTGAGTATATTAAGATCGGGGAATGACGAAAATAATTTGCACATTTCTCTTTTTAATCTGTTATCACAACTTTTTCTTTTATATCATTTAATTCAAGTTTTGATTGCATAATTCAGTGATGACATTTTATGAAATAAATAAATGATTGCTTGTTGTCAGTTTCATTAAAAATTGCCAGTAACTTAGATCTGCCAACCGGAAACTCCACCGTACTCACGTTTTTGCTATTTCATGGCTGTTTATTGAAAATGAAAGTAGACTTTTAATTTAATATACGATACCTACTATGCGAGTGAAAACTAAATATAGTTTACGGACATCATCTTGTATCTAGTGTATTGTTAAAGGAGTAAGTAAGAACTCTGGTGCAGCCGTTTCAGAGTTTATTTGCAAAAGAACAAGGTACAGTTTCAATACAAATCATGCCCAGTATTTTTCAAAAATAAGAAAGTGATGTAAGTAATTGAAACTGATGCTTTCTGAGTTGTTAAAATTCCATGCAGTAAGAATATAAAAATCGCTTGTCTAATATGACTTCCTAACGGGTAATTGTGACGTCATAAACTTGTGCAGTTTCCCGTATTTTCTTTAAAAGTTGCAGAAGACATCAATTTTCAGTGAATTTTTCTCTAAGATAATATAGAGCACATGCATCGCCCACAAAGATATTCAGAAATATGATTTTTCAAAGGATTTTACACAGTATATTCAAAAATTGCAGTGGACAACAGCTGTGGACACTATTTTCTTAAGGAAAATACCCCCAGAAATGAGTCATTTTGATGCTTTTTCTGTAAAAAACTTTTCTGTAAAAAAAAAACAACAAATTAATGACGTCATATATCCACAATGGTCCTCCTTCCTGCCGTACTCTTTCATGATTTATTGCATTCATATACTCAACTCATATTTAAGCCAATTCCATAACTTTTTGAAAACATTAAATTTTTAGGGCACAATAAAGCCCAAACTGTACCTTCTTCTTTATTAATCTATAAGTATAGATATACATCCTTACCTGTGGGTCCCAGGTATATACCTGGCATTCAAATGTTGGAAATGTAACAATTCAATCCAAAATAAAATATACGACAATAAAGGGCATATATGATATATTCTGAAAAGATATGTATTTATTCATTTTTTTTATTTATTCATCCTTTTTATTTATACATTTATTATTTTTTAATTAATTAATTTATTAATTTATCATGTTTATTTATTTATCTATAATGTTTATTTATTTACCTTTTTTCATTAAATGCATAATTTTAGAATTATCAAGTATGATTATAGTGAGGGTCATGAAAATGTATTAATAATCATCATTTTCATTGATCCATCCACAACGAGGACTGCACAATAATATCAATATTCGGTATAATATGTTTCGTTGACAAAAATATCGTAATACAATTCTTTCCAAAGTAAAATATGAAATTTAAGATGCCAGAAATGTTTTGATCTTGCCAAACAGTAAGGTTGCTGTTGTATGGATGCATTTAAGTGCAAAACTGTTGCTGTTATTGAGAAAAAAGTACAAAGCAAAGTCGCTTTTTTCTGCTACAGCAGCAGCATTAATTCCCATACTTTCAACTAAGGAAATCATTTAAATGTTTAAATCACTGTTTGAATACTAACTTGTACAGAATTTGAGGTAATCTTTGAGCTCTGTTTCCGTATAGCTGTCTATTATATTCCGTTCTCTGTACCGTAGCTGATTATAAGCTGTGTCGTTAAATGCAAACACGGTCATAGTGGTCGGAGATTCATAGAACCTTGTTAGTTGTGCCCGGGTCACCAGCTGTGCAAACTGAAAGATAAAATAATATTCTGTTTTATATAATTTTCCTTTAAAATTACCTTATGAGAAATATTTTAAAGCAATATGAGCTGCAATTTTTGATATCGGAAATTTTTGTTGCAAAATTGTACATGTAATTAACTATTTCAAGGACAGAGAAAAAGAACACTTATGGCTTCTGTTGTTCATATTTGCGGTTGAAGAACTATTAAAAAGCTATGACTGAAGGAAAATTACATTATTGTCATCCTTTACAATAATGATTTCTTAAATAATACTATATGTTTGATTGCACAGAAGTCTTTCTTCTGATACAATCTAATACTTTATTTTAGTCTAATTGAACATAAAGGCACAAAGGTTTAAATTACATACAAATTTATCATAATAACATATTTTAACAGCATAATAAATTCTTAAAAATGCAGCTCATATTGCTTTAAGCAAGGATTCCATTTTCTTATTATAGCAAAAGCGATTGGGTCGCTATAAAATTGAAATAGTTAATATTTTTTATCCAACTTCTTAAAAAACGATAATTATTCTGGACATTACAAAACCACAAAAATTAGTCCTCCCTAAAAATATATACCAAGTTTATAGAAAAATCGCAGAATTTGTGTCTTCCCAAAAATTCTACCTATATGGAAACTAATAATTTTGATTGCACTGAACACAATATCAGCATACATTGCTGCACAAAATTGAGAAAAGGGAATTTTTTAGTCCAAAATTGCAATTTTACAATTTAAAAAATAATAGTTAATTTATCTAGTGAGATTTTTCTCTTCAAGTGTTAAACTGAAACATTTAAGAGAGTTCATTCTCCTTTATTTAGTTATATGACTGTCTAATTCAAAACCCTGACCATTTCAAATTTCCACAGCTGGAGTTATTCCCTTGTTATTTAATTTTCCATGGCAATTACCTTAAATATACATTGATTGTCATGATAATAAAGTTAATGATTCAAAGCTCTCCCTATCTCCCACAGCTGAAGTTATGTAAGCATTGCATGCATTTAAAATAATTCAAATATTACTGCACTTAATAACATTCCTCTTTTTTTGCCCTGTTACCTAAATTTTGAGAAAACTGGATGTACTGATGTATAAAATATCGAGTTCTTTGATACTAGATAATTAAGTTAATTAGTTACTTGTTAATTAGTTCATTGCTAATCGATCACCTTCTTTATCATAAGAAATTCATGATAAACTTTAACCTTCTATATCTATCTTAAAATCTCAGTTTTACTATGTACCAGCATGTATCCCCCTCCCTAATAGATGCATCATGCATGAGCTAAACCTCATAGGCATTTTAGTTACCATATTTTGCAGTTTCTGTACATGATTTGAGCTTTTCATAGGTAATTTTGAGTTGGCAATACACCTTTGCTTCATTTTTCTAATGTACTTTACCGTTCACAGAAGCTCAGTCGGTAGAACACTCGCTCCGTGATCGGGAGGTCGTGAGTTCGAATATCGGCCGCGACTGACCTAAGTCGATAAAAAATAAGTAGCAACTGTTCCTTCGCCATGTGCTCGGTGCTTTGAAGTGGAAGTTGCGGGTCCTTCGGATGAGACCTTAAAAACCGAGGCCGCGTGTCACAGCAGGCGTTGGCACGATAAAGATCCCTCACTGTTCAACGGCCCTGAGTTCCGAGTAAAGGTCAAAATTTGAAGCCCTTCATCGGTATATGGTGACGTCTCTATATGACTGAAATATTCTCGAATGGGACGTAAAACAACATACAATCAATCAATCATCTAATGTACTTTTGATAATATTAAGATAAACTGATGATTACGATTGGTAATGCTAATTTATCTGTTTTATGAGCACATTGTACCATGCATATAAATCTTTGTCTGTACGTGAATCACTATCATTGCCACCAAAGCATTAATAAACTCAACATAAAAAATAATTAGTTTCAGAGTACAAAAAAAAAAACGTAAATTCTGGAGGCCGATCTCTATTCCGAATTTTGAAACAAAAATATGCGATGAAAATACAATTTAAGTAATAATAAACAGTTAAATTAGATGCATAAAGCGCATTGTCCATTTCACACTATTAGGTCAACTTTTAGTAGCTTGTCTTCTTTTAAAAGTTGATCGTACGTAGAGCATGCTCATGCGTATCGAATCAACTGAGAGATAAAACCCATAAGCAGGTGATAAGGGTATATTTCTACATAAATAAGTTGACGATAGAAAAGTTGAAGTGATGACGTTTATCATAAAGTTTTGTTGTGAGGTTGCCATTAACGTCCTTTTTTCTCGTAAAGTATCCAAATATGAAACAGATGTGTCAGACTCTGTGGTGTCTTTTATTTCACAGTCATTGGAATGTATCGAATCGACATACGAATGAAAGTAACTGTTATTAGGTAATGCGTCGTCGATGTATCAAAATGTCGAGTTGAAGGACACAAGCGTTTTCTTCTCCTGTAGAAGTTTTGAAATAATTCTGCTTCATATGAATACAGAAAAAGAACTGCAAATAATGGGATGCAATTGGTGTACATGGGAATTCAAACAGATTGTTGGAAGACCAGATCTCCAAAAACTACATCGATATTGTCAATCAGAAACTCAATCAACTTTTTCTTCTCAACTTCAGTTTTTATTTGTTAAGATTTTATGAAGCTTCGGAATCCAGTATAGGTATAATAATTCAAATTCATTTTGATTGTTAGGAATATTAAAAATATTTAAAAATGACATATGATTTTGAAGAATTCCCTCCTTAGAAAGGGAGCTATGGGTATAAGTTGGTTTATCACTTGCAGAAATAAATCCCAGTCGCTCTAACATATGATTGAAATAATGAACCCAACAAATAAAAACAATGCTGTTACCTGCTCAATCAGCTGGGACCAGTACATACTGATCGTGCAATCTGTCTAATTAATTAATGTTTCGAGAATTTACACATTTTTTACCAGCTATTTGCAATAATTTCACTTTTAAAATTTAACAATGTCTGTGTACAAAGTAAAGAACGCACAATATTCTCTTAATCCCCTAATCCTTATTTACGCAATGTTTTGTATACAAACCCCAACCATGCGCCATTTCCTAGTTTGAAATAATACCAACTTTGACAAGTAAAACTGAAATTTTCCCCGGGATGGAAAACGCGCAACTTTTAAATTTACCTTTGAAAATCCTGTTGTTCGCTGGAGAATTTGTAGAATATTTCCAGATATACTTGTCCTTGTGCAAAATTAACTTGAAAAAGTGCAACCAACAGTCCAAATATCACTACTCCAAGCTCCATGCCTTCACATTTGAAATTGTAACTTGCGAAAGTTACGCGTTATAAACCGGAATTATCAACGATAGACAATATGAAGTCGTCTATTTTGCATACATTTTAAAGCTTCGTTAACGCTTAATCAATGTACGTCAAGAAATGAAGCAGATTTTTGACAAATTAATCAGATGTTACGTGCACAGTTGTAAGATTGATAACAATTTATAAACACATTCGTTTTTTAAAATGGTTGACATCACTCAAAACAATGCATCTGTTACAAATAATTTTGTAAATCGGCAGTTTATTTTCTCATTGCATAATTCTACATGTATATGACTCATAAGTTCGGTTTGAATATCAGCATTATACACGCTGTATTGATGGACTGCTACACATAAAATCACATATATTTTGTTTTACTGGACGGTACTTCATTTAGAACTGTCGATGTTATGAAATTTATACTCAAAGGTCATGTCGATAAAATTTGATCTAAGGAACACGATTTGCTTTATAGAGGAAAGAAATCAGAAAAATAACGCTTAAATTTCAAAAGTATGGAAAGTTGTTATAATATATCTCTCAAGAAGATATTTTGAAGCAGTTTTTATTGAGACTGTTTGGATCATTATCAGATTTATAGCTGAAATCAATTGCTAACTAAAATGTATTTTTTTTTACAAACTTATTGTTGATCATCAAAACTCACAGTATTATTTGTTAAAAATCAATACTACCAACTTAATAAAAACAATATGAATATCTTCACACAATCTTGCTATTAAAACACTGTAAAGAAAAAGATCCTGTCAACACTGTAAAACCAGCATAGAACATCACTTTGGTTTGATGTCTTATTGACAAAGCCTTGAGAGCTAAATACATTACAAGTAACAAGAAACATTTGATGAAAACACTATTACCATCTAAGCGACGAATGCACCTCATCCAACGTGAAAGAACTTCATTATAATATAAAAAAAATATACTGCATGTGATTGGGGAAAAAACATTGAAAATTTTCATCCCCAGAACTAGGCGTACCATCTTGAGTAGTAAACATTTTCGAAATCTCAGACACCCGACAGCAGACTGCGGACTGCGGACTTTTCAGTTAAGGGAAAGTGTTCAAACATAATTTAGATAAAATGAATATTTTTTTTGGAAGTCTTGATTATTGATAATTACGTTTCGTTTATATTGTATGATTAAAACCACTATACACTGTGAACACATTTACGAAGTGTGTGTGTGGGGGGGGGGGGGGGGGGGTCCCTCACTTGTCCGAGAATTATAATAATAATGTAACTCTGTCCTCCCAAGAGAGTGTTCCATTTTATAAACTTTAATATATCACCCTTTTCCAAGAAACCCGAGGACTAAAATAAAAAAAAATAGACTAAAATCTTACTGAGTGCACAGTCTGTAAATAAAAAAAAGAATAAAACTCTGTCAAAGCAGTGAATGGTGTCCTCTAAAAAAATATTTTGTTGATTTAAAGAAATAATACCTGGTCTGGGGAAAAAGAAAGCATTATCCCATGTCACCTCTAGGTTTTCCAGTGGATAAGCATATTGACACCATATTGGTAGGATGACTTCAACCTTTGCCTCGAGATCTTTTTTTCTCTCTCCGGATCATATTGTGTTGAAGTCAATCACTCATATTTTCTTAATTATGATCTACTATTTTCATTCATAAATAAGGGAAAGTCTTAAACCTCAATTTATAAATAAGGAAAAATCACATAATTCACATAATAGTAAAAAATTTCAATTTTATGATAGGTACATCCTAAGAAATATACTACGGTAAACTTAAGCTAATTTTATTATATCAAATAATTCAAATGTTATTCTATATATATTGTAAATTAAAGTTCTACAGTTTTTGCAAGAGGGAATCGTAATTGTTTTTCTACAAAATTCATTTTATTTAGTTTTAAATGCCATTTTTGTAATATTGAAAATCTTACTTAAGCAGTCAAATTTAGGATAATAAATGTGAAATTAGAGACAATAAGGTTCTAATTTGAACAAAAAAAATGTGCGATGTTTTATCGTAAATTAATCGTATTCTAGTTAAGTCAAATCAAGTAGAATTTTCTAGTAAATTGTAGTAAAATATTTACTATGATAAACGTTCTTAAAATTATTTTTCTTTTTTGAAAAGCATACCCATCTAAAATATTTTTTTTAAAAAAACCCAGACGTTATAAATATTCAAGTTTAATTAGTTGTGATATGTAAGCAATTAGTAAATCTAAATAACAGAACTAAATTTTGTTTCTGTGTCCTTTGCAATTTTTAAGCCGCGTCTTTTAATAGAATAGAAAAAATAGTTATCACCGGTACATTTAAATCATTTATCTATTTAAGATGTGAAGAACCTTAAAAACTATGTTGCTTAAAATATTTTCAAAATGTTCCGTTGTTTTAGGAGGTCCTTTTCCTATGAAGAAATCTCACAGATCAGGAGCACTGTTCAAGAAAGTAATCATTCTTTACGTCTTTCTCATGTGTTTTAAGTCGAGACAAAATATTATGTGATAAACATTTCCCTGTTTTCAAATAATTTCATAAAAATCTTATCATATTTATATTTGAAATCAATTATTAACTAAAATGTATTTTTTTTTTTTTACAAACTTATTGATGATCATCCAACCTTACAATATTATTGGTCAAAAAGTCAATACTACCAACTTAATAAAAACAATATGAATGTCTTCACACAATATTGCTATTAAAACACTGTAAAGGAAAAGATCCTGTCAACACTGTAAAACCAGCATAGAATATCACTTTCATTTTGGTTTGATGTCTTATTTACAAAGACTTGAGAGCTAAATACATTACAAGTAACAAGAAACATTTAATAAAAACACCATTACCATCTGAACGACGAATGCACCTCCTCCAACGTGAAAGAACGTAGCAACAGTCAATATTACTTGACGACAGATGATAGCGATTTTCTAATAAAATACTTACTGGACGAAATTTATTTGTGCACGATTCATCGTTACATGCATTTGTGTAAAACATTCATTATACTAGAAAAATTGCATGTAATTGGGGGTAACATTGAAAAATTTCGTTCCAAGGAGTAGTCGCACCATCTTAAGTATTTAGGTCTCAAGCCTGTCGTCAAGAAATGTTAACTGTTGCTACGTTCTTTCACGCTGGATTTCGTGGATTCGTCGTTCAGAGGGTTTTCTTTTTACAAATGATTCTTGACGAATCAGATTCAACCAATTTACAAGTATAATGTTAAAAGGTTAACTGGAAAAAACAAACCATTTAAATTTATGCAATTCTTAAGAGTTCAAATTTTTCTGAACTTTTAAATTGAGAAGTGAAAAACTTGTAAATTGTTCATACTCCTTGTGTCCTATTTTATATTTATAATATTTAAGTTAGTTTATCATCATTTCTGAGAGGAAAATAAAAACTAATAAAATAATAAAAGTATCAATTACAATGCTTCCCATAAATATGCAAAACAAATTACAATTAAGAAGATAACTGAAAACGTGTGTTTGACAATCTGTAGTTTGGAATTGTTTCCATCACCTAAAATAAAAAAACAATTACGTATACGTGGTTGATGTATAACTAAAGTAAATTTCCATTTTAAAAAATAGCCATGTATGTAAGAAATTAGATATAATGACAATATGAATGGATTCAGAATAGATATCCATGTTGCTAAAAAAAAAAAAGGAAGGTCATAAGTGTTCCTGCATAAACATGTATATTTTCATGCATTTTAGCAAAAGCTTCAAAAATGAATATCTTGAGTAGAGACTGATTTGCTGAGGATAATATATAGTTTTCAAAAGCATTACCATCTTTATTTTACCACAGTTAATTCTTTTTAGATTTATCTGTCAATAGTGTATCATTTACATTTTAGATTCGCATTACTTTTCTAAAACTATGTAAATGAGAAAAGCCGAAAACTACTCAGTCTGTAAAAGAAGATCTAGATATTATTATTAGTTCTTTCGCTCACATAATGTAAATTTTTTGGCCTTTCTCCTACTTAAAATATGGAATTAATTATGCCATGTGATATTGTTTTTAGATGAACAGGTTATTATTTGCTTTCTTCAGAGCATGTTAGCATGATTGTTTCACAGATAGAAACGAGTAGTTTATCACTGAAGAATATTGTCATAAATGCTCTTTTCAATCAGTATGTTCACATAAATGAACCATTGAAGTAAAGGTACAAGGAAGTTTTGAATTCTCAGGGAAATAAAAAGTTAATTTGCAATTTTGAAGTTTCGACTGGGAATAAAAGAGACAAAAGTCACGAAAATGATAATGGACCTACTTAATATAAGGTTCACAACAAAATGGGAAATATCTTAAACTATATGTTTTTAAAGGAACACATTTGGAAAAAATGTAAATGTAAAACAACTTTAGTCTATAATTCTAACCTTAAGAATTTTTTTATTGTTAGAAAGAACCGAAATCGTTATCAAGACCTAATGAAAGTCAATATATAATATCATTGACTAGTCGCGTTTTTCGACCGGTTAACCGGTTACCCAATGTGCATGCATGTATTTGGGCAATATCATTATCAGATATTGAGTAGTTATAGTGCAGGCATACACGTGCATTAAAAATGTTTTCTAAGGGATATATCATTATTTACCCACTGAAATTTCTACGGATTTTCCCGTCCATCCGATCATGACAGGTAGCACACGTCGGATGTGACAGGTCGACATGGGATTCTTACTCCTCCATGACACCTGATCCCATCCCTGATGTTTTTGGAGACCCATGGTTGCTCTGCTTCAGATTTGTATTGTTTAAATTGACTATGAGCTTAAATACTGTTCGTTTTCTCCATATTTCATGTACAAAGAATGTGTCAAGGAATAAATTCAAAGTGCTGTTTAATGGTAATATATTTAACGTGTATCTTTTAAATAAAAATATATTAAAATATATCCTTAAAATCATCAAGACAAAAAAAATGAACGTCATATATTTACCAGA